CTATCCGAGTATTGTAGTAATTTGAAATTCAATCTCGATGATTCCATCCCCACTAAGTACTTCTGTTGTCGGAAGTGTTCCTCCAAAAGAGTTTTTATGACCCACTGCTACTGAAACCATTGTGGTACATCATTTACCATGAAGATAGAGATATCTGGTGGGTATCCAAATATTCCATTACAGGGTGGAGGAAGTAGTTTTGTCAAGAAGACTGTCCATTCTTACACACTCAACGATGACCTGCAGATATATGTAGGCCCTAACTTATCAAGAAATCTCAGTTGTCTTGGCATTACTGACCTTGATGGAGCCGAGCAGAGAATTGTGCAGATCGGAAGGAACGAGGTAACCTGAGAATTTTATTTTATTTTTTTTCTGTAAATTGAATCTAAAAAGTTACATCACGCTTGCTTGCTTGCTGCAGGTGATTGATATATTGACAAGAGCTTTGCTATCCAAAACTCCATTAACGGATGTTTTCCTGAAAGAGAAGGAGAAGATGAGCAGCTTCGGTTCAACATGGAGACAACTGCACATTAAGCCAACCCAAACAAATTCAAAGAAGATTGTTGTGAACGCAGTGGTCCAGAAGTCTACTCATAAGCTACTCCTGGTTCAATCCGAAAATGATTTTGTTGATTTTCTGTTTAGTCTGCTCACTGTTCCGTTGGGCGGAGTGGCTCACCTTTTGGGTGGCAACACCTGTCTTGGGAGCATCGACAATTTGTATCGAAGCATTGCAAGCTTAGATAGCAAGCATCTGTATACAGAAACTATGTTGTTCAAACCTTTGCTACCTTGCAAGTACCTTTCTAACACCCAAATGCTTCCCATCTTCGAACAAATATTAAAAGTTGACAATAGTTTCAGGGTTTGGACCTTTGATAACCGAGTTGATTACAAGTTTGCAAATGTACAAGACCCTAAGGGTGAAGGAAGCTATTTGAGGAGCCCTGGAATGTTCATGGTGACAGATGATTTGGTAGTGACGCCTTTATCAGCTCTTTCACTTGTATCTTTCTTAAATGAGGCCAAGATTACCATGTCGGACTTTGAAGAAGTTGAAGTTGAGATTGATGAGGAGCAGGTTAGGGTTTTCTGAATATAATTGATTAATATAATTTACTTGTTTTCTGTATGTATATGATATCTATCTGTATTTGACAATGTGTTTCTGTTGCAGGGATATCGAATCTTGCAAGCTTCTCTAACAACAACAGCTGTTTTAACACATGCCCTCAATCCTGGCCTGAAGAAAAAGCCTAAGCAAGAAAGTTTTGTGTAGGTTAAGAGTAACAAAAGTTTCTAACATAACTACTGTCAGGAAATTCAAGTCTTCGTTGATCAGAATGAAATTTGCATTCACTTGCTGAAATCATCTATGTAATGTTAGTGTGTATTTCCTGTGATGAACTTTGGATGGAATCCTATTTAATTTGGTTAATGGAGATGCAATCTGTTGGTGTGTTTCAGCCTTCAACCCAGACCCGACCCGACCCCATCCAATCATGTTTGACCCGAATCCACACTGTCTCGGTTTGTTTGATTTTTAATTTCTCTCCTTAAATCAGAACTATCCACTCTATTTCCATCAAGTTCGAATTTTGAATCCTCTTTAAATTTGTTCCGCCACTCTTGGTGCTATCCCTATTTCTTTTTTATCGATCGAGTCTGCTTGTTGGTAAGGTAAGGTTGTTTCTTTCTCTCTTGGGATTTATTTATCCAGTTCTCTATATATATCGGTTTAAGATTTTGGGTGAGAGAAGAATGTGTAAGATAATCCACTTCTCTCATTATTTTTTTTGTCCAGATATACTTCGTGTGGGAGGAACTTTCATTATTTTTTTGTCATGATACGTTGCGCGTGGGAGGAAATGTCATTATTATTTTGTCCCGATACATTGCGTGTGGGAGGAACTCTCATTATTTTTTTGTCCTGATACACTAGTGTGGGAGGAACACTCTAGGATTACTTTGTGTTAGAAACCACTGCAATAGACACCTTTGTGGATTAGTTCGAGAAACTTCTTGGAGTTGGCGAATGAATCACTGTGATCTGAGCTTACTTCATCTATTAAGCAATTTCTTTTTTAATTTTTAATATATATTTTTGTTTTATATTTTTAACCTTTGAGTTTTATCCGTAGATCATCCCAATGTTCAGGAAAATCGAAAGTAACAACACAGTCATGCAGACAATGGATTACTGATTGCCAATTTAGATTCTAATTGACCTTAACAGCACAACTAACCAGAGATATCTATAACTTTTAAGCATTATAAATCATATGTTCAAGTTAAACCTATACAATAATCATTTCATGCACGAAAAAGATTTAATGGCAGCAATGATGATAAACAGAAAACACTAAACAAAGGCTGAAATTTGATTTTATTGAAATTCTCAACGCTAAACAGTAACTGATTAGATTCTTATAGTTTAAAATAAATATCAATTATAAAAAATATTAATATATAATTGAAATTAAATATAATTATATAATAAAAATTTATAAAATGTAAAATGAGAATCATTAATATATATATTTTTTTATCAATATTAATATTATTTTAATTTTATAAAAAATTAATACTATAATGAATATTTTTGTCATAATTCAATATACATCTACAGTAGCCACTGTCCATGTTCTTCTTCAATCTCCTCCCTTCTAAGGTTTGAAGAAATTTTGATTTGATTTTTATTTAAATTTTGAGGTGAGTTTGAATTTATATATATATATATATTTTTATTTTTTTTCAAGATTTGGATAGTATTTGGAGAATTTTGATATGTATTGATTTGATGCAATGAATATAATAATATAAATGAGTATTAATTTGACTATAAATTTATATTATATCTATATATATATTTTTCAATTTTTATTTATTTATATTATAAAAAAAAATTATTTTTTACAAAATAATATTATTGTATATATTTTATTAAATTGTAATTATTAAAATTTTTGTATATTTATAATTAAACAAAAAAAATAGACACACTGGCTCCAAAACTGGGCTGAAGAAACACACCCTATGCTATTCAAACCTTTGCTACCTTGGAAGTACCTTTGTCTTATGTTGAAGAAGTAAAACTTGAGATTGGCGAGGAATAAGTGATGATTCATTCAAGCAAGTTTTGTATGTATTAGATTTGGCAAAAACTGATTCAATAAGACACAAAATAATTGGGTTTTAATTAAGATTTCAATCCGATTATATATTCGAATTGATAAGAATCTGACGCGATAATAAACGAGTCTGATTGGATTGAAACTTTCAACTCGACCCAACACGACAATTCAATTATAATATATTAATAGTGATTAATTATATATATATAATAAGTATAATTTAATAATTTATTCATATATTTATTTAACTAAGCTTAATTTTAAATAATTCAACCTAATTCATTGTATACATTAAGTTCAAACCAATAAAAACTAAAGACAACACACCAAAAAATAATTTAATTTGATATGATTTTTTAAAAAATAAAAAGTAAAAATGTAATAGGGTTAAAATCTTTAGTGGAAACATAGCGCTCTTGGAACTATGTAGCCTGAATGAGAAAAAAAGTTGTGATCTGTTATGGAAGACTTTTGTTCACTTTACTCTTTTGTTATTTTTATTAGTTTATAACTCAATTTTTATGTTTTCTTTTATAAAACATTGAATTGAATATTATTCAAATAAAAATTTTAAATGTAGAAAGTCTGAATACAAAAAATATTCAAGAATTATACTAAAGTTTAATTATACATTAAATAAACACATATTAATGTCACATTAAATAATTGTTTCAATTTAAAATTTTATTATACAAAATTCAAATTCGAATCCAAAATTGGAACATCACAAACAAACACAACTATTGATGTTATATAAAAATATTGATATAATATTTTAAATATAAAATATATTTTTAATATAATAAAAAATAAATACGTAGTTAAGTTTTAAGCAAAACTTTTAATGAATAGTAAAAATGTTTTAAAATACTCCAAACAAACACAACTATAAAATATCACATCGGCTACCGTACAAACACCGCACAAATCAAATGCACAATAAAATAAAAAAAATATTTATTACGGTTTGAAAGTCTGTTTGTTTTGTTTGATAGTTTGAATTTTGAGTTGGGATTTAAATAGTAAAAATTTTAAATTTGAATAACTGTACGATGTGATATAAATAGGTGTTGATGTGATATTTTGAATGTAAAATTGATTTTTAGTATAATATAAAAAATGAAAAATAGGTATTTGATTTAATGTTTTTTGGAGAAAAAAAATAGAATGAATAGTAAAAATCTAATTCAATCTCGCAAACAAACACAAACGTTTTAAATAGTATTTGTAACTGTGCAAATTGTATTCTTTTAATAATATTAATAATCAAGAGGTATATCTGTTCAAAAAATTGAGTTATTTTCTTATTATAAGTTTTTCTAGAAAAAACTATTATTTTTTTTTACAAACTATCGTATTAAATATTATTTTAATATTAAATATGTATACATATTCATTTGTTTTTTCATCGAGTTTTATAAATATTAATATTATATTAAAATAAAATAAAAATAAAGATAAAAAGACTAAATTTAGTATTGTATGATATAAATATAACGAATGGCACATAAATATTTATTTTATGAGATGAACAAAATAAAAAAATGGATAAATTATTAAGACACAGAAGGAGAGGGAGTACTATTTTGAAAAGATTAATAGTTTTTCGAGTACTAATTTTATGAAAATTTTATTATACCAACGTTAGTAACAAATTCTAGAAACATGATCCAAGCAAATAGTTAACATGAAATGTAATTACGTAATATTAAAATGAGATTTCTAAAGTGAAGATCTAATGAAATTGCAAAAACAGTCACAAATACTCACAATAAAACAACAATAATCCTACACCAACCATTTAAACTTCCAACACATAAAAATAAAACAACAAAATGATCATCATGGTACTCAAAAAAATTTCATAAAACAACCATCTTGATTTAGGTGAGAAACAGCAAAAATCACATATAATCATTCCAAAAAATGCTCAGACATTTTAAATCCTCAGAGAAACTAGAAGCCCACATTAACTATTTAGACAAAAATCACATAAAAATCCATGCCTATCTGTATGTATATATAAATCTAGTCATGAATATGATGAGCGTAGAATAGAGAGTTTTAGATTAGCTTCACTTGCCTTCAGCGGCAGGAAAATAAACTCCCTCGGCTACAAGCCAAATATTATCAGGTTTCTTGTCCGAGACGCCGCAGACCTGTAAGAATCGAAAGTTTGTCATAAATGAAAAGCCCACAGCCTTGTTGAATTGAATTCATCTATTTGATTTATACCTCTTGCTGTCCATCTGCTATTCGGGAATACTTCTTGTTGTGGCTGTGAAGGTATCCGTTAGTGTCAACATGTCGAAGCCTGATTCTTTGGTCTTGCCTCCACGTCTTTCCACTTCCCTCGATTTCAAGCCTGATTTACCAGAATAACAGCTTCTATAAGAAATAATGTAATGGTGAACTTAGGAAGGTCTGTGACAGAAGATCTCACCTCCAATAATCCCCAGTGTCGGACTCGCCCTCCCCACCGAAGCAACTGACCTGCACATGATGATTTTGAGGTTAGGCTAATAAATTATAAAGATTGGGTTTTGCAGTTTTAGGAAAGTAGGGATTTGGTTAGCAAAAGAATGTCCTTTATGTTCGATCAACACGTGCATACAGACCTCCATGTTGCCGGATATTGGGGATGCATGTAAGTGGCTGTGCAGCCACTTCCTGCTTCTCATATGTTGCAACCTAATTATTGTCCCACTTTTGATCGTATCCCCTTGCTTCGCAAATGAATCTGGCGTAGGTTTCACAATCTGCGCAATAACACAACAAATCCAGATAAACACGAGAAGCTACAGCTGTATACACAAAATGCTCGAACAAGAAGGATGTGAGATAATTGTCTTTTCACCACATCTGCATTTGCAAGACTTTGGAACAATTACAAAATTACAAAAATGAATTCTCGGGATGTTGCACGTGCAATGTAAATACAATATGCACATACCCAATAGCTGTTAGCATCCTGAACATTTGGAAAGCCGGTAACAGACTGCTGCCCGCTTCCGGAGCCATAAGGAACATCGTGTGAATGAAGCCGGAATTTCGTCTTCTCATGCATTAGTTTGATGGTAGAGCCATATGTAACCTACAAAAAAATTAATGCCTATAGCATTAAGCTGAGTGGTTTTCTGGAAAGTTAAGAGCATAGACTGAATATATTTCCCTACTCATCATTTATATCCGCAAGATATGGAAGCAACTTATACTTCTAGTTCTGTGTGCTGAGAAATCATATCTATCTATATATATATAGATAGATATGATTTCTCATTAGTATATGTTATACAAATGTGCACGTTGAACTCATAATTAATCACCAGATTCTACTGAGTTTAGATGATTATGTTTGAAGCATGGAAAATCAGTTCTCACAAGTGCAAATACTTGAAATGCATATAGTCATGGAGGAATGTATATATATCTTTCACAATTTTACGCATGATGTGTTTATATTTCACCAATTTACAGAATCTAATTTAATCAATCTATTAAATCTGGAGAAAATGCAACCGTGTAGAATTCTAGCTGTTCAAATCACGCAAATTCCTCACTTCGTACAAAAACTCGCAATCAAAATAATCAACAAACAAACATCAATCCAATCAACAAATCTCCTATTTCCCCGGCACACGTCACAAACGAATTGCTTCGATCACTAACCTGAACGCCTTCCGAGGCAGCATCAGCAGGAGTTGAGGCATAATCGGAATCCAGCGTCACCAGCAAGTATACCGCGACTGCGAAAAACGAAAAAGCCATCCCAAGCAACAGCACAATGAACCAAGTCCTCTGCCAAAACGGTAGGTTCAGATCCGAACCGGAGTTGCCAACGGATTCCCTATAAACTATCCTCGTAGAACCCGATTTTGAAGCGGCGGCCGACGGCGCCGGTGACGGCAATGATCTCCGACGGGTGAGGTTGCCCTGGTGCTGCTGGGCGGAGGGAGCCACGGTTGGATTTTCGAAGCGGTGCCGGAGCTCCGACTAAGATCCGCGTGATTATCAATTCGGGTTCCCCCAATCGATCGTCGTTCGTTTATATATATATACATTAGTCAATAAATTAATTAATTGGTTAATTATGAATTAATTGCAGACTTCTGTTCGTAGTCGCCACGTGTATTCAACGATGGCGTCCAATGATATCTATCCACGTGGATAGTTGCTGACATGTATTTACGTCATTGGATATTTAACAGGAGGAATTTGTATTAACAGATAAATCTCATAAATGAAAGGAACTAGGAATGGCAATGGGTTGCTAGACCGAGATCCGATGTGGATTAAGCTCATTGATTTGGACTCGGATTTAATTATTTGGATATCAAATGATATATTATGTATTCTTATCGGATGAAATTTCGGGTAATCCTCTCCCAATTCATATTAGATTAATATATTAATAACATATAAATTATATATATATATAAAAAAAATCAATTGTGATTCTAATATAATCAAATTTTGATCTCATTATAAACAATTTCAATCAATTTTGATCAGACATTTATAGAAAAAAAAAAAAAAGAAGATTGATTTAGAACTGATTTTCATTCACTTTATACAGTGTTTTAGGGAATTATTTTGAAGATCAAAATTTTTGTTGTATAAATTGATCCGTATTACTATTAATCGGGTGTTAATGACATTTTTTTAGTGGCCTAAGTTTTGTAAAATTTGTGTTGATTGAGCACTAATTTAAGTTATGAAATTTTTGTATTACTTGACCAGATTTAGGCACTAATGTCCGCGTTAATTATTTTATTAATTAATTGTAATTGAACAATATATATATATATATATGTAATGTTACACCTTAAGGCATTTTGAATTTTTTATCTTTATTTTTACTATATACAAATACAATATTTATCTCGTCTCGTGACTAAAAGTATTCATTTACTTGATCTTTAAATATTAATTATTATATCAAAACGTATTATAAATTAAAGAAAAGTAACAAAAATACTTTTACTAGCGTCTTATAATACTAATCATATTTGTAAAAAAAAAATTTATATAAATATAATGATATATTTAAGGTGTGTTTGTTTGGGGGTTTAGATTTTGAGTTGAGATTTGAATAGTAAAAATTTTGAATTTGAATAGTTGTATGATGTGATATAAATATACGTTGATTTGATGTTTTGAATGTAAAATTGATTTTTAATATAATATAAAAAATAAAAAATAGGCAATTAGTGTATTTAAAATCCAATCCCTCAAATAATATTTTAAGTACAATGATGCAAATAGTAAATAGATACATTGTTAAGATACTTTTTCTATATTGATTTCTGAATATTAATTATTATATAAAAACACAGTACAAATTAAAACAAAAATGACAGTATCTTATAATACTATTGTAATGATATTTCTACACAATATTATATAAATATAAAAATATTTTTAATAGTATAAATACAATAACACTGCAAAAAAAATAAATAAGAGCAACTAGAAGAAAAGGAGGGATTATTTCATAAACATTGTGCCCAAAAAATTGAAATATATTCTTAAGGGTAAGTGGAAATATTAAAATTTATTTTAAAATTATTAATAATATTTTTTACTATATAATAAATAATAAAATAATATTATAAGTAGTTATTATATTATTTATAATAATAAATATATTAAAACAAAAATCTAATACACGAACCCTATCACACCTCTTCCTGCGCAGCCGCCGTCCTTCTTCTTCACCCTGCTTTACATTCTTCTTTCTTCTACATCTTCGTTTTCCTCCGTCTCTCCTGCAGCTGCTGCCGCCGGTCGTCAAGTAAGAGATCTCAGGTTTGCTTTATTTATTTAATTTATTATTATTCTTATTGTTCTTCTTCTCAACTTCATTCTCCCTTTTCTTCTTTTTCTTCCCAACTGTTGTAGCCGCCGGTCGTCGAGGGGTTCGCTTTAATTATATATATATATTTTCATCTTCTTCTTCTGTTTCATTCTTCTTCTCCCCGGAGCTCTTGCCGAAGTTGTGCTGAAGTATACAGGGCTTGTTTTAACAATTTCTTTTTTTCTCTTTCTCCTCTTCTTTCTTCCTTATTCTTTTGCCGAAGAAGATGTTTCCGCCGGTGGTCGCCTTCTCCGTCGTTCCACTGTTCCTCCGCCGAATATGGCGTTTGTCTTCCCGGTAGCATCGTCACTTTCGGTGAATTTATCGGTTGCCAAAAAAATAAAATAAAATAAAAAGTACACGCACGAGTTTTGGGCCAATTTCATATTAAGAAGGAAATTAAGGATCTTTTAGCAAATACGAACTGGTGGGAAGCTAGATAAAGGGTAGGGTAGGGTTTAGGGTTTCGTTACACTTTTCCATCTCTTCAACTGCGTTGATATTCCCCTCTTGTGCGTATTGAAACCTTTGAGAAATTCCTTGGATTAATTAATTGATTCGTCGATATCTCTTGATTTTGATTTTGTTTCCACTGCTTGTCTTGCAGAAGCAATCGGAAGCCATGGCCGCGGAGGAGGCGCCGCCGCAGGCTTTGAATTACATACCGGAAGTGGTGTTGAAAAAGAGGAAGAACAATGAAGAATGGGCAATCAAAAGGAAGTTACAGATACAAGAGAGGATAGCTAAGCGCCAGAAATTTCAGAGTCGCTTCATCAAGAAGCCCGAGCAATTTATCCGAGAATATCGGGACAAGGTAAGAATAACATGACGCCATGGATCCTTTTTTGTTGCTCTTTGCGTTTGCATAGCTTTGGATATAATGCCTTTGTGCTATCAACAAATTAATGCTTTTTCTTGGTGTTGTTTTGCTACCAGGAAGTGGATCTCGTCCGAATGAAGAGCAGAGCAAAGAGAGGAAGGCGGACACCGCAGGCTGTGGAATCTAAGCTCCTTTTCATCATAAGAATTGGAGGGTTAGCTCAAATTTCATTCTGTCTCCTTGTATATTTGTAGCTGTAGATTTTGAATCCAGTTTTTATTTCTCGTTGCAGGAAAAATGACATGCATGAAAAGACTCGGAAACTTTTGTACTCTTTGAGATTAAGGAAAATACACTGTGGAGTATTTGTTAAAGCAAGCGACGGGATGATGGAAGTCTTACAAAAATTGGAGCCTTATGTAACTTATGGGTATGCAAAGTAGTTCCCTTTGTTTTTGTCTATTATTATTCTTTAGTATTATGAAGTTACAATTTATCTTGATGTTTTGGTGGTTTTATTGATGCTTTCTCTTTTGTGTTCATATCAAGTTGGTTTTGAAATAATAAAAGTTGAACAGAAAATAGATGTTGAATAGGTATTGAATGTGATGTGTTGAATAGAGAATATGTTTTTTAAATATAATATTTAAATGAAAAATAGGTTTTGAATATAATGTTTTTAAGAAAGGGAATTTATTGTGAATTGCACGAAAACAAATTCGAAAACATAAGTAGACAGATTGGTTTTGGATCTTTATCTGCTTGTTCGGGCAATCTCAAAAGTAGTTGCTAGTTCTTTCGGAATGATCTTAGATGCATCCCTACTTCTTGAGATTTTCTGTGTCTTCTGTTCTTGATTTTATGTGATTTTTTTTTGTAATACTCGTCTGACATTAACCTTTCATTAAAGCGACAAGGAATTTACTGTCGTGTTTTTTTGTGGGTTTTACCATATATTTTTACTATTCAGATTTTTTTTTTCCCATAAAAAATATCAAATCAAATAAGTACTTTTTTTTTTAATTATACTGTAAATTTATTTTATATTCAAAACATCACGTGAACATCTGTTTATTTTACATCAAACAACTATTCAAATTCAACTTTTTACTATTTAAAAATTCAACCCACAAACAAACACACCCTAAATAAATGTATTATTTTATGGTTGTAGCTATCCCAATGTCAAAAGTGTGAAGGACTTGATTTACAAGAAAGGTGTTCTAAAAGCTGGCACGGAGAGGCTTCCCCTGACTGATAATAATGCTATCGAGCAGGTATATTTGCTTGCAGATTTACTGTCTGATTAATGACTAAACTAGTATGGCTGTCATCAGGAATTTTATCAATATTGTTTTTCGAACTTTCTTGGCAGGAACTAGGCCAGTATAACATCATTTGCATAGAAGACATTGTGAATGAGATTGCTAATGTTGGCCCTCATTTTAAGGAAGTGACGAGAAGTCTTCGACCCTTTATGCTGAGCAATCCAGACAGGGCTCTCCATGGTAAGAAGAAGCGCTTTGAAGATGGAGGAGACTCTGGAAACCGTGGGGATCACATAAACGAACTGATCAGCAAGATGAATTAGGTAACCAAGTAAGTGATTCATAAAAAAAGATACAAGGTTGATATTTTCTGCCGATTTTGAAGTGATCCATGAATTTTTATGCGAGTAGATCTTTCTTGGCATCATATCAAATTACTTTGATGTTATCTTGGTGTAATGACTGACTTTGAATGCTATCAAGCATTGTGTTTCATTACAATATCATTACAGAGGTTAGTGTGTCCGAAACTAGTGAGTGATGTAGAGAATTAAGTTAAGACATGATGCTACTTGGGAGCTTTGCAAGTTTATCTTTTTGTTTGATTTTGTATCTTAATTTTGGTTTACAAGTAGTTGAATATGATAAGAAAATAGTTTTAAATTGTGCCATTTCTTACCATAATATTTTGATGATGATGGATTATTTTTTTTCCCCTTGTTTGTTTAAACACACGAGACTGTCTAGGGCTGTTATATTGAACATGGTATAAACAAAAGAGCTTGTTTGGTCCATTTTATTTCAATAGAAAATTATGAACTGGTCTTCTCTTATTCCCCTTATCTACTTTGAGCAGGAGATAATGCAAAGGTTTTTTATTTTTTATTTTTTTGTGAATTTTTTATTTGGGGTTTGGATTTTTGAGAATGTTGAAGTTGTTTTTGTTTGAGTATGTTAATTTGTAATGATAATGTTGAAAATGCATATTTTGTCTCACCCAAGTGGATTAAGAAATTTATTTTTTTTAAAGAAATAATATTTTATTAATTAATGGAAGAATGTAATAAAATTTTGATATTTTTTTGTCTTTTATTTTATGTATAAAATAATTGTACGTGCGATATTTGAATTGAGATGGGGTAGTATTATTTATTTGTTGCATGTGATATAAGATGTGAAGGTTTTGAAAAGAGTAAATTTTAGAAGAGAAGAGGATTATTGAATTAAACGAGGGTCCCGAAAGTGTGCACTTTCGGTGACTAGGCGAATCAGCCGTTTTACATTCAAAACATCAAATCAACATCTATTTATATCACATCATATAACTATTCAAATTCAAAATTTTTATTACAACTATTCAAATTCAAAATTTTTACTATTCAAATCCCAATTCAAAATCCAAACCCCCAAACAAACACACCCGAAGTGAATTTCTTATTGTAAAGTTATGGATTCACTTTGTGTTTTTAAATCAAAAAATATTTTTTTTTAATAAAAAATTATATTGATAATATATAAAAGTATTTTTATTAAATTGTTGAAATATATATTATATTTTGTATAAATTAAAAAAGTAATAATATTTTATTGATTGAAATGTGAAATAATTTTTATATTTTTTACTCTTATAGAAAAAAAAGAAAAAGTGAATATTTTTATAAAAATTAGAAGTATTTAGATATTTATATATATGATTATTTAGATTAACAAAAAATATATATTTTGAATGGGATAGACGAAAATGATGAAATAAATATATTGAGTTGGGATTGAATGACTATATACACTATTCCATCAGCGTTTAAGGTCACATTTATCTTTTATGTCATCATACTTAACATTAAAAATATTTTTATATTTGATATAATAATTAATATTAAAATATCAATATACAAAAATTAAATGAGGCTCTTAAAGGCGGAGAAAGATAGTATTAAATTTAAAGTATGAGCCCCCGTATATTATAGTACATATTACAAAATATTCCATAAAAAAAAACAAATATTTATATTTATTTATATTAAATTATTGCTAATTATAATTAAAATATATTATTTATTAATTTTATACAAAAATTAAATATATATTTTTTAAATGAATGAAAGAAATATTATATATTTTTTATAATATTTATAGAAAATTGTGTCCCTAAGAAATACAAACTAAACAAATCTAAAATTAAAATATTTCTCAAATAATATTATCAAATAAATAAAGGTGTATGTGTTTATTATTTTTTTTTCAAAATAAATCAAAACACATTTATCTAAAAAAAATAATATATTACATACATTTATTATTTATATATTACTTATAATTTTCTATAATTCATATATAAAAAAATATCATTCAAATTATTTCACTAATCACACCCAAAATTAATAAAGAAACATATTATTTAATTTCCTTGACCAAATAATATTATATATATATATATCTTTTCCGCGTCAAATTTATTTTAATTTTTTCTTTAGTATCTTATCATTACCAATTTTGGCCAAGTCAAATATTCAATATATATATTTTTTATTATTGGTATGAGAGACTTGGTTGAGTTTTTCTTTTACGAAATCGTGTTTTCTCTTTTGATTTTGTAAGGATCTGCTCCAAATCAAAGCGATCCGTGAGAAATCGAATGGATTTGGTTGAATCGAACTTATTATATTGTAATCGGTTCTTCTCCCTTGATTTTGTGTCAAAATCGGCCTGTTGGATTTTGATCAGTGCTAATATAGCCGCGATCGAATTGTTAACGTGTGGTTTGGACTTAATCGCTATTGTTTTGTGTAAATCGGTTAACTTTGAATCAATTTTGGTTAGAACGGTTCAAAATTATTTCGATCCGGTGAAAATCGATCTTGTCCGTTGTTATTTTAAGAAAATAAAGTGTAAATTTCTTTTGCTTTGCCTTATTTTTGTTAAATCCGTGGTTGTTGGGTTTAAATCCAAAAGTTTTTCAAATTTTTTTGTTAAAATCTTTAAAACTATAACTATTTTTCAAAGATCTTGTTAAATCTGTTTTCGTATCCGATCTCTGTATTTACTCTGTTCATCCGTGTTGTTATCCCCTATAACATTAGTTAGAAGAGAAACTTTATTTTTGTTTTTCTTATCCGTTATTATATTTTTTATTAACCCCCTACCCTATTCTCTTTCGAGAATAGATATTGTATATATTTTCTTTTGTATTTTTGTAGAAAAAATATTGTTGTAGTGCTTCGAGGGTAAACTATAAAGCCCAAAACACGATATTATTGTTTTCTCTTTACTTAGTTTAATATCCGCATTAAATTTTTTTGCCCAAAACAATTGTAAAAGCTATTGTGAAACCAAGGTTACAAAACTCCAATCTTCACTGTTGTGAGTGTTTTCCGAGTACCTTTGATTGAATAGTCATAGGTGAATGTTGTAATAAATATGTTTTATCGTTTGCTTGTGATTGCAATATTTTGGGATATGTTTGTTGTTATGTTTGATTGTGATATATGTATTTTGTGCTCTGTTGTTTGCATGCTGTGATTTGTGGACGATTGGTTTGTTCCCTATTATTTTAAAAATAATTTGTTTCTTTATATATATAATTGTTTTTTTAAATAAACAACGTTTGTTTAAAACAAGCTTTTTTTTTTTTTTGCTAAACAATGTGTTTTTTCGAAATTGTGTTTGAATAAACTATTTTTGAAAATTAATAATCATGGCTGAATAAATATTTTTTAATATTCAACATTTTGATGAAAAAATTAATTTTGCTATTTAGAAACAAAAAATGAGAAGTACATTTGTTACTCAAAGATTAATTATGGCAGTAAAGTCGGACCTTGCAACTCAAGTTCTTCTTGAAAAGAGGGCCGGGATGGATGAAATGACTTCATCCTGTGTAATTCTAAATTTAGCATATGTAATTCGTAAGGTTGGTAGGCAAAAGAATATTATGAAATAAATTGGATGAACTATATAGTCAAACTTCTTTACCTAGTAGGCTTTATTTGTTAGAAAAAAAATTTAATTTTAATTTTGATCAATCTAAAACTATTGATGAAAATCTTGATATTTTTTAAAAATTAATTTAAAATATTAAACTTACCGGTGATAAGAATATAGATGGTTACAGTGCTATAGTTCTTTTTAATGTTATTTTGAATTCTTATTCTGATGTTAAATCGGCAATTAAATATAGGTGCGATATTGTTTCTTTAGATGTGGTTATTAATGCATTGAAAAGTAAAATATATATATTTTTGAATGTAAATAAATCTAATAGATCTGGTGAGATTATGTTTATTAGGGAAATATCTCCTTTTAAATATAATAAGAATAATAATTCTGATAATAAAAATAAAAATCAGGATCTAAAACTCTTAATAAAAGAGAAAATATATCTTATTTTTGTGGTATCCTTCACATTTTGTTAGAAATTGTCCTAACAAACATAACAATAATAATAGTAGTAATAGAGATAATAATGATGCACAAGCAAGTGAATTAGCCTGTTATAGATCGTAATTTAGGAGATGTGTTTGTTGTTTGTTCGGATTTAAATTCGAGTTTTATGTGTGCTGATGAATGAATTGTTGATTCTGCTTGTACAGACCATATGCACATTTGAAAAATAATTTTGCTTAGTTTAAAACTTTAACATTATGTTATGTTACTATAGTTGATAAACGTGTATTATTAATTTGAAATTTAAATTTGAAAATGTGCTGAAATTTCATGATGTGATATGTGCCCGAGTTGTCAAATAATTTGCTCTCATGTGTTAGTTTATCTGGTCTAGGACCAGAAGGAAAGTGAAGTGTAAATTGCATGAAAATAACAAAATAGGTCAAAAATGAGGTTTAAATTACATGGAAATAACAAAAGAGGTCATTGTAATTTTTAAGGCAGAATTAAGAAACAATATATAAATAACATGTGCTGAACCTGTGAATGTATATTTTGATGCTGTTAATTCTGAAATTAATAATATTAAATTATGACATAAGATGTTAGGTCACATTAGCAATAATAGTTTGAGAATTCTGCATGAATCTGACTATTTGAACATTTTTTAATTTTCTGTTGTCTCATCTTGTACTATATATAAACGTGAAAAATTAAATAAAATTCAATTTTCTATACAAACCTCTGAAAATTGCATTTTGTCATAGCAAACTTTGGAATGTATACGTATAGATTTATGTGATCTTTATGGTGAACCCACTCATGATGGAGTATACATTTTTTGACAATTGTTGACGATTTTTCTAGAAAAATTTGAATTTTCTTATTAAAAAATAAACTTAATTTGTTTAAAGTTTTCAAAAATTGAAAAATTCAAAATGAAGATGAAACTAGCAGATAAATTAAATGTATTAAAAATTGGGAATAGTTTTTTTTTTTTTTTTAACACATGGTTTAATAAATTTTACGTGCAAAACTGTATTAAGTTTGAATCTGTTCCCATAGCACCCCAATCTAATGGGGGGGGGGGGGAACCGGACTCTTTGCGAAATAGTTAAAAGTATTGACTTCATCCGATTTACTGGAAAAATTGGGGTGAAGCTGCTGTTACGGCTGTGTATCTTTTAAATCAAACACTCTCTATCCCCCTTAATAGTGAAATTACAGAAACTAAGTGGCTTGGTAGATTAGTCGATATATCAAATGTTTGTGTATTTGAGTGTCTTGCTGTAATACATATTTGCACTGATGATTTTGAAATGATAACTAAAAATTGTATTTTATTGAGTTATTGTGTTACGAAGTATAGATTGTGGTTAAGTTCTAAACTCGGATTTAAAATCATTATTAGTAATAATGTGACATCTAATGAATGTTATATGTCATATTTGAATATTGAAAATTTTGAATTGGCCATTTATGAAAGTGTTAAGAACAATACACATTTTTGTAATATTAGAAATTAGGTGGAACATAATTTGATTGACATAGAAAATAAACCTATTATATATGTTTTTCGTTTTGAATTTGCTGACAATCAGCATGTTGTTTGTAAAAAAAATTGAAAATATAGCTTTTGAAATTAAAAATAATGGAACTAATTTCGATAATAATAATGAGATAAAAAATTATCTATTAGTTAGAGATGAGATTAGATATAGTCCTAAGGTGTTATCTATTGGTTGTGTATCATACCCTGCAAACTAGGCCCGACAAGGCAAGTCGGGCCCATACCATCAGACCATCTCTTATGAGACTATTTTCTACTTTTTTTTTTTAATGACGTGGGAACCTGCAACCACTACTCAAAAGTACGCACTGGGTAAACCCCCGGCCGAATCTAGTACCCTACAAACTAGGCCCAACAAGACAAGTCACACTAGGCGAACCATGTGTGGCAGGTGACTTGGAGGCGTTGGGGGTTTGAACCCATGACCTTACGCTCATAAGTCCCACCCCCACACCACTAGTCATACTATTATTATTTTTTGATGGCGTGGGAACCCGCAGTCTCTACCCGGAAGTGGCACTAGGTAAACCCCAGACCAAACCTAATACCCTGCAAACTAGGCCTAACAAGACAAGTCACACTAGGCAAACCATGTGTGACAAGTGACTTGGAGGTGTTGGGAGTTTGAACCCATGACCTTACGGTCATAAGTTTCACCCCTACACCACTAGTCATACTATATATATATATATTTTTTTTTATAATGTGGGAACTCGCAATTGCTATCCGAAAGTGTGCACTAGGTAAAACTCAACCGAACTTAATACCCTGCAAACTAGGCCCGATAAGGTAAGTCACACTAGGCGAGCTATGTGTGGCAGGTGATACACAATTACAATGTAGGACACTATTGTCAAGGTTTGGATTTGAACATATACCTGCTATAATGGATACCATATTTTTTAAAATTAATAAGCTTGTATCTTGTTTGAAAGTTATATGTTTTGATATATTTGACTAGGTGTGTTCTACATGTGTATAGATATTAGGCTACGTTAATATATTTTTTACTAATTTGTTTTTATCTTTTCTATGTAGGTAAGTTTTCCAAAAACTATTGGCAATAATGACCCCAGCCACTCGAATTAAAATCAAACGGATAATTTGTTGAATTTTAATTCAATTGCATCCAACCAAAAACACAAACTCACCTAATTTGTAGCAAAAAAGAATCATGGCCCAAGCCCATGATGCATAACCCACATCAAACTCGCGACCCGTGACCCGTAACCTGTGTGACCCGCGTCTCTATTATACTTGCTCCTCACCGTCCGATCTAGGGTTGATATGTTGACTGTTCATTCCATTTTGACCTATATATATTGAGATGGGGAGGGGCGCCGTCACTCATCTCATTCTCTTTTGGTGACGGTTCATGGTGGTGTCTTCTCCTGTAATTTTGTGGAGCTCCTTTGGCCCGATTCTTTCTCCTATTTTGGTTGTTCCGAATTGCACATGACTCATTCAACGTTGTAGGTGTCTGACTTCTTTTTGTTTCGTCTTGTATCTTACTGTAGGATTTTTTTTTGTGTGTCGTGGATTTAGAGCCGATTCCTTTGTGTTCATCGTATTTTAGATGTGTTTGTTGTTGATTTATTTGAAAAAAGTGGTTTTGGGCTGAACCTAAAATCAAAACTTAATTCAAAGTTTTTACCCTATTAATAAAATTTTGATTTTGATTCTTAACTTTCATAACTATTACTATTCATACCAGTCACAAATTTTTTATTATATTTTCATTAATTTTAATTATAAACTAATATTTTAAAAATAAATTTAAAAAAATAAAAAAATAAAATATTGATCTTTTTAAATATTTTGTTGCGAACAAATGGAATATTTATAATTTTTAATAAATATTTAATTACTTTCTATAATTAAACGATAAAGAAATCGAAATAAATTAAAAAAATTTTGTTTAATATTTAGAAATAAATTATTGTAGCTTTTATGATATCGATACGCTTAGAGATGGCCATAGGCTAATAAAACGACCATCTATAATTCCATCTCTGCTCTAAATAAAACGCACCAAAGTGACAGCACAGTTTTGACCACAGTTTCCAGATACCGAGAAGACTGATTGAGACCGCGTGATCCATTTACTGCTGCTGCACTCGCTCTCAATTGGGATTTGGGCTTCAATTCTCTCGTTGCTTTCCTTCTGAAGTCGTCGGAAAATCGCTGTCCAACCCACATTCTCCGACGGAGGTGTGTTCCTGCTAATTGAGAACCCTAGTCGTCTGTTGCTTTTTATCACTCTTTACTTCTAAGGTGTGATTTTTATTGTATTTTCCCTCTTTTTCGATACGTCCTACGTCGCTGAGAAGGGTGAAGGTTCGATCAATTTTTGGTGTCGCATGCGTGTATGAGTTTTTGGCCGAAGTTGAGTCGGTCTAGATGAAAATTGTGTGCCAGACGACTGGCGTACGGTCCGACTCTACTTGATGGCAATCGAGCCGTCTTTAAGTGGACTGGTTAGAGTAGGGTTTGTGAAATATGGTCGATTCTGTGGATGGCTTCCTATTACTGCGCAGTTTTCTTTCCTTTATGCTTAACAAAAGAAACTTGGCACGGTGGTGGGTTGAGTTTTTGGGAAAATTCTTATTGCATAGAACATTGCTGGCATTCCTGTTTCGTTGATTGACTTAACTACGGCACTGATATGCCATATCATTTTAATCTACTGTTCGATTCTAAAAAAAAAATGCTTTATGACTTCCTAGATCTTAAGTGGGAAATCTAGAATGTTTGTATCATTGATTGATAGAGGTTTTGTATTCGGAAAAGCCTTATACGCACCAGCATTTCTATTTCCCTCCACAGGGAAAAAGTAACTACATCCATGTACTAATGTTGTGAGGAATCATGTTACTAAGCATATGGACAAGCGTAAATTCTTTGAATTTGTGGCTTTGTTCGCCAACTTCTTTCTTAGTTTCTTGCATCTCACAGTATTTATTTTTGTGTTTAACCTCTATTATTCAGATGGGAAGCAGCTCAGATGAAGAGTCTGACATAAGTGATTCAGAAATAGATGAATACAAGGAGAAGCCGTATGAATTACTGAAGTCTGGTACTTACAAGTTGAAGCGCCCAAATGGGACACTTAGATGTCCTTTCTGTGCTGGGAAGAAGAAGCAAGATTATCAATACAATCACCTTCTTCAACATGCCATTGGAGCTGCCAAGGGGTCTTCCAACCGAAGTGCAAAGCAGAAAGCGAATCATCTTGCACTCGCAACATTCTTGGAAACAGAACTGGCTAATGAGGCTGAACCACTACCTCGTGATGTGGTTCCCAAGCCTGCTCCTAAACCTGAAAAGGTTGAATTGTATTGTTGGCCATGGATGGGGGTTTTAGCTAACATACAATATGATTCCAGGGTAGAGGAATCTGGAGATAGCCACAAATACTGGTTAAATGAATTCTCAAAATATAAGCCCATTGAAATTGAAATGTTTTGGGATGAGGGCCAGCGCACTGCAGAAGCTGTTTTAAGCTTTGATAATAATTGGCCTGGATTTCGAAATGCCATGGAGTTTGAGAAGTCATTTGAATCCAATTGCCGAAGTAGGAAACAATGGATTCAGCGAAAGGCTTCTCCGGGTTCAAACGTCTATGGTTGGTTTGCTCGTGAGGATGATTTTAGATTGGAGGGACCTGTCGGAGAATATCTTCGCAAGAAAGGGGAGTTAAAAAGTTTTTCAGACATTGTGAAGGAATCAACAAAGGACACGAACAAACTTGTTGATAATCTGGTCAGCGAAATTGATTTGAGAAATGAAAATCTGGATCAGTTGCAGATCAAATACAATGAAAAGACACTGTCCCTTAGTAGGATGCTCGAAGAGAAAGACGAGATTCACCGGAACTTCTGTGAAAGTTTGTTGACTCTCACCCTTTTATTATGCCTTAATCTTCTAGTGACTGTAATCTAATCCATTTACTGAACCTTGCCCAAATAAATTAGTGAAGATTTAGCTGCAGTTTCAGTTAAACTCAGTTAAACAAAGTCCTAACCATTCACAAAACCCGGCTGCATGAAAACTTTCTCAATCTGTAATTGTGGGGCTTTTGTTCTAATTCTGTTTTCTTTCCAGAGACAAGGTCACTGCAACGTGCTGCACGGGAACATATTAAGAGGGTTTTACAGGAGCAGGAGACGTTGAACTCAGAGCTGGAGACTAAAAAAAAACGACTTGATTCATGGAGCAAAGAGCTAAACAAGCGTGAGGCATCCACTGAGCGGGATCGATTGAAACTTGAAGAGGAGAGAGCTAAAGTAAAACTCTTTCCTATACTGCAGATGCATATGCCTTATTGAAAATTGCATTCCTTACTAGAGTTTGTACATATTTTGGATTTGTCAAAGCAATTGTTTTGTAAAAATTATTTCATCTTTTATTTATATATGTCTGCTTTTTTGGTTATATGTGTGCAACTTATATCTATACTTACATTTCAGCTTCCTTTTGTCCTGGACATGCTATTGGGAATTCTGCTCAATGCTAGTTGCGTTAATATTCAACTTGGCAATTAATATCTTTAACCTCTGTATTGTCATGCTTGCAATTATGTTTGTTGGAAATTTAGAATAAAATTGCTTGTGGTATCTAATGTCTTGACATTGTCTGCTAGAATGAAGTGAAAAACAGCTCACTTCAAAAGGCTTCTGAGGAGCAAAAGAAGGCTGACAATAATGTCCTACGGCTAGTTGAAGAACATAAGGTATTGTCCTTAGGATCATTTCTAATTCTATTACACGTAACATGGCTTTTCTTATTAATTAATTGACTTTGTGTTTTAATCTATTAATATGGTCTTTTATGCGTCATGTACTGTATGGTATGTTGTAATATGCAGAGAGAGAAGGCAGAGGCACTTCAAAGGGTTCTCGAGCTAGAAAGGAATCTGGGTGAGAAACAGAAATTGGAAATGGAAATTCAGGATATCAAAGGGAAACTAGATGTCTTGAAACATATGGGAGGGGATGATGATGACGCTGTTCAGCAGAAAGTTGATAAGATGAAGGAACAGTTGAAAAACAAAGTGGATGAACTTGAGGATCTTGAAGAACTCCATAATCAACTATTTACAAAAGAGCGCGAAAGCAATGATGAGCTGCAAGAAGCTCGCCAAGCATTGATAGAGGTACTATACCATGATGCTTTATGCACCTTTCAACTCCTAACTTATTTTGATACTCCATTCAGCTAAAGGATTAGCTAGGCCAAAGTTACAGTACCTTACAAAAATGATAATGATTATAGACAAAACTGGTATGATGCAATTTATTGAGTAGATAATTACATGTTAATTTGCTTATGTGATTATTACAACTCATATGCCACCGGGATATTTAGTTCATTAGGATTTAGAAGATATATGATGCAGATCAGCTAGGACTGCCGGCCACAGCTCAAGCTACTGGGGGTGTAAACCTAAGGGACTAAAAACGAAAAGCTAATTCCAGATTGGTTGTTGCATTACTTAGATTATTAAATTTTATTTGTTTTTATCTCTATGAACTTTCATTTTATTGAATTCAAATCCTTAGGTTATCAAAGAATCACTAGGGTTTAGATCTTTCAGTTAGAAAGTCATTTTAGCTTTGATTTCAGGACATGATTTTCATGCATCTCTGAATTGGTTCTATTCATTATTTTTCGATTCGCTCCAAATCAGCTAGCCTACTTGCATGATTGCGAGAAGGATGGCAGTGACAAGGAGCAAACCAAAGATCATTCCCTTAGAAGATACGTATGACAAAATATCTTAAGAACAATTGGACATAATCAATGGACGCAATCAATTCAGCATAGATGGCTGAGTTTTTGGCTGTGGAAACAACTGTTTGGCCGGTGTGACAGCAGTGGTTTGGGGAGTGAAGCTAGTTCTTGAGTATTGGGTAGAAACCAAATTGAAAACACTCCCTCCCTCCGTGAATGTCATTCTGAATATTTCTTTCCCTTTTTAAATGATTGGGATCCAATCTAGTGGATTGCAAGTGCTAAGCATCAGCCCAAATTGCATGGGAAAACTAGGAGTCACATGGTATTGGTGGTGACAGTATTGATGAACAGATCTTCCTTTCACTAATTCTGTTGGTATCATATGAGGCATCTGGATGTATCTTTGTCTGAAGACTGGATGATGATTTGATTCAATTTTTGGTGTGTGGGGAGTCTTAGTGACCAGCAGGTGGCGGGGTGAAGCAATAAGGTGAAATTGATTTTTATGTCATTTCTATATCCATATGTTCCTAATTAGGTACCCAGTTTAGGGAGTTGGGGTTAGGCATTGGGTGGGATTCTGCGTGTTCCGTCCTATGTAGAAGAAATCAGGACAATCCAGTACTGGATAATTGTGAATGAGGATGAGATTGAGACAAGGGATGCTGGTCTTGTGGTTTCTCGATTTCTATCTTGGAACTTTTCCTTATTTCATCCCGTCCTGACCGAGAGGAAAATTGTTCATTGCTTTGATGTAAGTGTAACAATCTGAATATAAAAGGGTTAACCACCATTAACTGTATACAAGCTAAAACTGAGTTCGTGGCCAAAAGTGTAAGTTGGAATTGACCAGATAACTCTACATCCTCCCTCAAGCGGGAATGGATGACATGCCAAGCTTGCAATAGAGAAGATGATGCTGAGGGCATGGAAGAGCTTTAGTTATAAAGTCAATAAATTTCTTTTTTCCCTTTTGATAACATAGGAATTCACAGCTGTTACTCGCAAACTACGCTTGACAAGGGAATTCACACTAGGCGAATCATGTGTAGCAAGTCAATCTGGAGGCGTCGAGATTTGAACCCATGACCTCCCAGTCACAAGTTTATCCCCACACCACTAGGTCAGCCCTTGCGGGACAAGTCAATAAGTTGTTGATTTGATGAGGTACGGGCCGTGCTCAGAATTCTCTCTTGAACTTTTCATGCATGAAATGGCAATCCAGGTGAAGATGCTTAGTGCTATCATGAAATGGGTTGGCCACAATCTGTTGGGCTGCTTTGTCATTGCTGTACAGAGTGATAAAATAGGGCAAAGATCTGCAAAGTCATTTTGTAAGAAGGTTAACCAAATAAGCTCTCAGAAGAGATAGCGGCCATATCAGCTTTTGATGAGGAGCAGGGTACGGTGTTTTGTTTCTTTGTTTTCTAGGATACAAGAGAGTGGACGAGAAATATACAAACCTGTGAGTGATCTTCGAGTAGTAAGACAAGTATCCCAATCAGCATCACTAAATCCTATAAATCCAAGATTAGGCTATATAAGATAGAATAGGCCAAGATGTTCTGTGGCTTTCAGTCATTGGAGTAAGTGATAAGCAGCCTGAAGATGGGGTTGCCTTGGGGAACCATGAATTGGCTTAGATGCTGCACAGAGTAAGATAGGTCTGGTCTTGTCTTGCAGAGGTAGAGAAGCTTCCCAATACGTTTCCTCTACACCTGGGGCTGAGACAAAGGAAGACCAACATGCTGTTGTAACATGAGAGCAATAGGCAATGGTGCTTTGGCTGGAGTGATACTCTACATATTTGAGCTTGATAAAATACACCTGATGTATTTCCTCTGAGGCAAATGATACTATGAGGAGTAGGACATAGTTATATGCCAAGAAAATAATGAGCAACCCCTAAATCCTTGATGGTGAATATCTGAAGAAGAGCAACTTTGAAAAGTGAGATTTCCTCAAGAGAATTTCCAGTTAATAGGATATCATCAACATACAATGAAGGAACCTCCGGAATTTCTAATGAAGAGGGAATAATCATGCTTAGACTTAAAATATCCCAAAGCAATAAAAAACCCACATAATCCTTTATTCCATTGCTTACTAGCCTGTTTCAAACCATAAAGCGACTTCTTTAATTTGCAAACTTGGTTGGGAGCAACATCAATATAACCAAGTGGTGGCGCCATGTAAATTTCTTCATCAAGAAAGCCATGAAAAAAGGCATTATTGATATTTTGCTGAAAAAGGGATCATTTGGAGGCAGAACGTAAAGCTATAATGACCATGACAGTAGCAAATTTTGCTATGGGGAGAAAGTCTGCATGTAATCAGTCCCTTTCCTTTGCCAAAATCCCTTTAACGACCAGCATTGCTTTGGCCCTATTCATAGAACCATTTGTCTTATGATTCAACTTATACATCCACCTACTTGTTAAGGGATTTGTGACCTCGAAGGAGAGTGTTAAGTATCCTACATTGGATTTGGTGGGTGAAGGACTACTTTACTTACGATTTAAGTTGGAGCTCTGAATCCCTTCTTAACACGGTATCAGAGCGGGTAGGGGGCCTATACGATTAGTAGGTAAATTGAATTATCTTACCGTGACCCGACCAGATAAGTTAGTTCATGACTGCTCCTACAATCCAATATTGTGAGGTTTTGGAACAAATTTTGGGGTATTTGAAGAGTACTCCAGGGCGAGGGTTGTTATACAAAAACTATGGGCACGACCACATTGAATATTTTTCTGATGCTGATTCGGCAGGCTCTAAAGTTGATTGTAGATCAACCTCTCAGTACTGTGTTTATGGGCGGTAACTTGGTTTCGTGGAAAAGTAAGAAACAAAATGTGATATCAAGATCAAGTGTAGAATCTGAGTATCAAGCGATGATGCATTCCGTGTGTGAGATTATGTGAATTCGTCAGTTTCTGACAGACTTAGATTTTCACTTTTCAGCCCCAACACAATTATGGTGTAACAATCAAACAGCTCTACACATAAGTTTGAATCCTGAATTCAATAAACAGATCAAACATAGTGAAGTTGATTGTCATTTTATGCGAGAGAAGATTCAAGGAGTGGTGGTCACAGGTCATGTGAAAACTGAAGATCAAGTTGGAAATCTACTTACCAAAGCTTTACCTGGTCCTCATCTCAAATATCTTTGTGACAAGTTGGGCATGATTAATGTCTATGCTCCAACTTGAAGGGGAGTGTTATATATATATATATATATAGGGTTAGACATATGTATGTATATTAATTAGTATCTAATTATATTGTGAGCCTTGACCCAAGATAGATTAGGGCTGCATATATATATATATATATATGTAATTTTACTGTATCTTTTATGTTAGTTAGTGAAATATATGTTAACAAGAACAATCAAGTTGTTGTTGGAATTCTGGGCCTGGAGGATCGTCTAAGTAAAGGAGCAGGAGTAACAGCTGCAGGTGTAGCGGAGTCAGTGATAGGCCTTGAAGAGTTATCAGGTGAAAGAGCAACGGTGTTCTCAGAAGCAGGTATGGACTGATGAGAAGCTGGAGGGAGAGGAGAATGTTAGAGAAAGGAAGATAGAGTTCATGGTAAGGTCATCCTCAATGTGATAATCAGAGGAGATAGAGAGATATGAAGCTTGAGGGGAATCAGTTTGAGGGCAGTCCTTGAAAGGAAAGACTTTTCTTACAGAAAGCATCTCTGCTGAGGAATTTGGTTTTGGCTTCAAGATCATAAAATATATATACCTTATGATGAAATGAGATATCCAATGAAAATTCATTTTCTGCCCCTGGGGGAGAATTTATCAAAAGGGGGAAGAATTGGTGCAAAGCAAAGGCATTCAGAAGTCCTGAGGTTATCATAGGCTGGAGGTGCTTTATACAGAGCCTCAAATGGAGTTTTCCTGTTTAAGAACTTCATGGACATTCTGTTTACCAGGTAGGTTGCAGTAAGTATACATTATCCCCGCATATCGAGCAGTGTCCAATTAGTGCCTATGCTTCCTTTCCACCCTTCCTTTTCATAGCTTCAATATGAGTGCAACAATCCGAATATAGACGGGTTAACCAACATTAACCGTGAAAACAGAAGATTAACCTCCTAGGAAGACACACTATTGAAAAAAACAAAACATGATATATCAAATACAAACTAAAACTGAGTTGGTGACCAAGTGTGTAAGTGGGAGTTGACCAGATAACTCTACGAAGATGGGTGCAAATGAGTCGTTTTTTAGATTTATTAGCATGATATTTAATTCTTACCTTTTGATTTGCGCTCAAGCTTGTGCTTGTGCTTGATTTGCTGAGAAAAGTGAGGCTGAGCTTGCAGAAATTTAGTGGCTTCAGCCCGTTATTCCTGAAGTTTGCAATGATATCTGATATGATTTGCTATTTATGATTTATCACATCTTTGCTTTTGAGGTAGTAAGTTGTCACCTTTTTATTTAACAAGCATTTGCTATCTGGTTAACATTATTGGAACTTAAGTTTGAAGATTGGAGTTTAAATGCTTTGAAACAAATCTTTATATATAGTTTTGCTACCCTCAATCCTAGAAGCAAAAGGATTCGTTGTATATTTGCACCCCAAGTGAAAACTTGGATCTTATATATATATATATATTCTGGACTTGTTGATATCCACTGAGTGGTTGACTAATTATTATTGTTTACATTCAAAACTAATTTTAGTTAATTTCTATCCAGGGCTTGAAAGAGATGCTGAGCAGCTGCCGTGTTAATATTGGGATAAAGAGGATGGGAGAGATTAATGAAAAACCTTTTAAGGATGCATGCAAGGCTAGATTCTCACCTCAAGAGGCAGATCTTAAGGCGGTCGAGTTGGTTTCCCTGTGGCAAGAGAAAATGAAAAACCCTGATTGGCATCCTTTCCGGATCGTCGAAGATAATAAGGGGAATGCTGAGGTAGCTTCAAAGACCTTTGATGATTTTGACTGGTGTAATTGTTGTAAAATGGTCACATTTTGTTAAATTGTGATTTTTCGAACTATTTCAGAAGAACTGACTTATTGTTAACTCTTTTTTTTTGTAAAATTGTAGAGGGTTTTGAAGGAGGATGATGAGTTGCTGCAAGAGCTCCGTAATGAATGGGGAGAAGAAGTATACGAGGCAGTTACTACAGCTTTAACCGAGATGCAAGAATATAACCCGAGTGGCTGTTATGTGGTTCCCGAGCTGTGGAATTTCAAGGAAAATAGGAAAGCCACTCTCAAAGAAGTCATAGCTTACGTCTACAGTCAGATGAAAACGCTGAAACGGAAGAGAACTTGAGGTCGTATCGGCGCATCTCTGTTTCCCATTACCCGTGCGTAAGTTTACTTTGAATATAATATATATATGTATATGTATATTTAAATCTGGATATTTTACGTCTTTATCATGCTATTATTCTTCATTAAACTCGTAGATACGCATGTCATTTCTGTTGTAGGCAAATAGTTGTTGATGCCATTGAGAGTTTGTGCGACGCAAGCATTGGAGCCCAAGAACAGATAGATGTCTGACTGTCTGTCGAGCCTAATTTGAAAGTTAGTTTGTGGTTGAGGAGACCTTCTAGCTGGTAATAAATAAATACCCATTACTCTTTGTTGCACGATGATGTTCTGTTCTGCCTTAAATTGATTTAGAACGAAGTGAACTTAACTGTGAATTGCTGGTAACTGTGTTTATGAATGAATGGACCGGACCAGACCAGACCTCTTTCTTAAACCATTCCAGTTTGAACCTCGTCTGAATTTCCATACATATCTTGTGCTTTTGGTAGCTCATCTTAAATTGTTAGGTGTGTTTGTTTGCGGGATTGAGAATGGGATTCTACTATTCCTAATTTTTTTGTTGCCTGAAAATATCAAATCAATTATTGTTATTTTTTTAGGCAAAATGTGATTTTCGAAATTTGTTAAAAATTCTTGGTGGTCCTAAAATTTTATATAACCTGTGGTTTTTAAAATGTCCCATCTAAACCTCACTAACCCTGTTAAACTTAAGCATAAATGGATTGTTATGCTCTACTTGTATTTTTTTACTAGGACGTTTTTGGATAGTGGTAGAAAGGAATTTCCCTCGTTTTATTTACACTTATTTACTCTGAATAAAAAAAATACAAGTAAGGGCATAACGGTTTATTTATGTTTAAATTTAATGGCGTGAGCGAAATTTAAATGAAATGAGAGAGTGAGTGTGCAATATTTAAAAAAGTATTATTTATTTATACTATTTTTTTTTATATATATATTAAAAAAGTATTATTTATTTATGTTACATTGAGTAATTATTTTAAATTTAAAATTTGCTATTCAGTCTCAATCCCAAAAAGCCAAACACACATTAACAGTTGTATTTGAATTGAATTGTAGCAAATATTGTGGCATTCGATTTTATGCCCAATGAAATTACTTAAATATTTGATTGGATATTGGATAACTTTTAATTCGTATTTGATATGAAATTACTTTATGAAGGCATTTTTCGTATTCAATTTGAATTTTTGAAGTGCATTTTTAATAATATTATTTAAATATTCTATTGAAAATTGGATTATTTTATGCTAAATAAAAATGTCAAAATAATCTTGAGAATACTTATGCAACATTTATCAATTTTGCAAATACACAAGTCAAAATATATAATAATGTGTGTTTGTTTAAAATTTTAGTTTAAAGTATTTTTTACAGAAAATGAGTTAGATATATATTATATCATTATATGTTTTTATTAATTATCATTGAAAATTATGTCAATAAAAAGTTATTAGGTAAATTCAAAATATTATATACTAATAACCATGGAAAAATATTAATATATCACGTTACACCATATACAATCTGTAAGAAGTCCTACGCCACTCCAAAGCATCTACAGATACGCCAGTCTTGAAAGAAACATGAAATGTTTTGTATCTAGACATTTTAATGAAAAAATAAATCAATACAATATTTAAAATAAAAAATATTGAATATGAATATTGAATATGAAGCTATGGACAAACTAGGCCCGACGGACAAATTACACTAGGCGAACCATATGTAGCAAGCGACAAATTTCACTCAATTTTCATAAACCACGGGGTGAATTATTTTATACTATTCTGCCTATATAATATAATATTTGTGTTAACTAATACACAATTATTATATAATTCTATCTTATCCAAGCATAGTAAAAACACACCACAAATACATAAAATGACCATAATCTATTCAAAATAATTACACTTATGTATTTTTTTACTATAAAAATAAAAAATAACAATTATTACTAGTTTTTATTAAAACCTGTCTCCGGTCAAATGAACACACGTTTGACCAACGGAGGAAGTATATTGTTTTTCTACTACCAGCATATAGTATAATATAGCCTTAATTATACAACATAATTTAAATGCATACATGAACTATAATATGAATCTATTACACACTTATAGATTGAATGGAATGTAAAACTATTTTCCTTTCCTATGCCGAAAATCCACAATGCATTCATTTTTCTTAAACCATTAAGACCATCTCCCTAATGCCGGGGAGGGGAGGGGGACCAAACCGCTTTCATCAACTCAATATAAATTCTTCCCTAATCTTCACATTATCGAAACTCGATTGCCCTATTTTGTGTGACTATGTTATAGGTCCAATATATATATATATATATATTATATCATATAAACACGAGATTGTATGGATCTGCCACTTAAAAAGTCTATCATGCACCTCATTTCGAAAATGACAATTTAGCCCTTAACCTACCTTTGTATTGGCTTGAAAAGACATTTTGGAACCGTCCCCAGCAACCGCCGTCAACCGCCCAAGACGAAACATTTTGAAACGTCGTCTGGTCAGTTACATCAACCGCCTCGCCAAACGCCTCCACCAGTTCCAGAACTCAAATAGCCCAACCGACCAATCCAGAGACCAATCGCTAGACCAAAAGACTCCTTGGCCGCACCAACCAACCAACCTCTCTATCTACCTGCAGACCAACTAACTTGCCTATCTGACCGTAGACCGGACCTACTTTATCCGACTGCAGACCATCAGACCTATCTGTCCGACCTGCTGACCATCAGACCTGTCTGTCCGACATGCTGACCATTAGACCTATCTGTCCGACCGCTAACCATCCGACCGATGACCTACCGACTAGACCAACCGATCTTGGACCTTCCGACCTGCCTAGCCGACCACTAACCAACCAACCTGAATCCGACCAGAGACCAACCGACTAGACCAACCGACCGAGGACCTTCTAAACCCTAAACCCTAAACCAGTTCCAAAACTCAAATAGCCCAATTGACCAATCCAGAGACGAATCGTAGACAAAGACTCCTTGGCCGCACCCACCAAGCGACCTGTCTATCTGTCTGCCAACCAATTGACTTGCCTATCCGACCGTAGACCAGCCGATCTACTTTATCCGACCGCAGACCATCAGACCTGTCTGTCCGACCTGCTGACCATCAGACCTGTCTGTCCGACCGCTAACCATCCGACCGAGGACCAACCGACTAGACCAACCGAACGAGGACTTTCTGACCTGCGTATCCGACCGCTAACCAACCGACCTGATCATTCGACCAAGGACAAACCGACCGAGGATCTTCCGGCCTGCTTATCCGACCGCTAACCAACCCAACTGACCATCCGACCGAAAACCAACCAACCAAACCAACCGACTAGACCAAGCGACCTGAGGGCAAACACCAGATTGTACGGATCTACCACTTGAAAAGTCTATCATGTCCCTTATTTCGAAAATGACAATTTAGCCTTTAACCTACCTTTTTACTGGCTTGAAAAGACGAGCTTGTATGGATCTGCCACTTGAAAAGTCTATCATGCCCCTCATTTCGAAAATGACAATTTAGCCCTTTAACCTACCTTTGTACTGGCTTACTGCTTCATCTGCCTGATCGACGACCCCTTCACCACTGTCTTTTCACACAGCCACTTGCTCTGTTCTTCCGCTTCCCCGCCAAAATCGCAGCTCAGGCCGCCGCTCTTGCCGTCCAGCCACGCCTTTGCCTATCATCATCTTCATCACAATGCACTGTCCCTAAACAGTTGGGCTTTCCCTGGTGTTCAAAAATATATATATTTTTTCTAAACATGCTTGTTTTTCCCCAGTTAATTTTTAAAGTAAAAAGTAATTATCTTTAAATCTCATTGTTATTGAATTATTTGAGAAACTTTTGTTTTTACCACAAACAAAATAGATTCAACATGTTTACTGATTTTCTATAGTTGACTTTAAAAATAGACCTTATGTATTAGTTGATTTGGGTATTGAAACTTATATGTTGTTATCAATTTATATTTACTTTGTGGAACATAAGTAATCTTCTTATTTACTCTTCTTTTGGTTTTGTGTCTTTTTCTTTTCTCAAATTCTTATTATTTATTTATTTTCTACCTATAACTTCTTCTTTTTACAGCCAATGACGCAATCTCAGTTATTGCAATGTATTAGACGTCGGCAACAAACAAGTAATCGTCGATCAACTAACCAAACAAGTAATAGTCGGTCGGTTAACCAAACATGTATGCATGTTTTGTCTTTTACTTTCGTTTTTTAGTTTATTAAATTTTTAAATGTTGTTTCTTTACTTAATTTATTATGTATCTTCGTATCTATTGAAACTTTACTCATCTTACCAGCATACTCTCACTAGTATGTATATATATATAAGGTAACTCAAGAATCATCAATTGCAAATAAATACCTACGAAAAATTATACTAGAAGAAACAGTTTTATGTATTAAAACCAGAATCAACAAGAGCAACAATCCTGTAGAACATTTGTCTTATGATGGGCATTCAATGTTATGATATATATTTATATCAACCATATTAACAATTTCTAATGATTATTTACATAGGATTCGCCAAATATATTATTACATGCTTCTCCAATGTTCTCTCTCCAAAGGTATCTACACGAGAAGAGAACCTATCATATCCAAATGTGTGGCGCATCCTCAATTAATGATACAAATGCCTCAACTCAGTCAATGAAATATTATTTGTGTTCTCTACAATAATGCAATCACATCTATGTGGGCATTTCTTTGCAAATAAGTGTAATTGGTTTCAAGCTAGGTTGACAAGTCCTCGTATGATTTTTCAAGTGTTTGGTACATAGACGAGGTTAAAATAAATGCAATAATTGGGTGAATAAGATAATGCTGGAATAGGTAGTTGTTTTGGACCACTTCTAAGTCCTAACCATAAAATCCATACAGACAATTTATTTCTATGTATTATTCATGTGGCTATTTAGGACTTCTATTTCAATTCACGGTATGGTCCACATATGCATAGGCAGTCTCCTTCAAACATAATTTACACTCAAATCCTTGTACACACAAGAAAGGCTAGAAAATCAAATCAAAGATACCCAAGGAATTGTAATTCTATTCCACCTCTTGAAAGAACAATGCACTTTGTTTCGTTATTAATGGGTGTATAAAACGGTGTGCAATTTTGTAAAGTGAATAGTTGAAATTTTGCATTGTCTATTCATTTAATTGTATATATTACAAATACAAAGATATATGACAAGTGAATAATGATACAAAATGTGAGTGAATATGTGTGTATGCATATGTCCATTTTCAAATTTAACTTCTCAAGTAATTACCGAATGTCAAATCTTAATTTATCTATGTGCACACTTCCATGCATTTCTGTGCATGCATGCAAAGAGAGTTATATGTATATGCATGAATAAGATTCTATATTGATTAAATGGAATAATTGAACATGAGAGTATTCATTAACTTCAAGGATGGATGCATATTTAGAAAGAGAATGCAAGTGTAGATCTGCATACATGATTAATTATGAAATTTAAATGAAGGCAATGACTAAGTGAATACACACACACACATATATATATATAGTGAGAGAGAGAGAGAGATTCTAAGGATATCATTTTTGGTGTAGTATACTATAAACCCTCAATGAGTCAATAATGTAGGCAATTTACTAAAAAGTGATAACCTGATAATCCTAAACTACCAAGGCTAAAGGCAATATCCAAGCATCAATGTAAAGAAAGGATATATATATCTATAGCTATATATATTTCAAGGGCATTTGCAGAAATCATTTATCCAGTTTCAACTTGTGTTTCTAATATGTTCAGCCCAGGTAAACAAGAATCATTAGGACGGAAGCAACTGAAAGCGCTTCAAAGAAGAAAGCATACCTGATGTAAGAAACTGTAGCAAAGAGCAATGGTGTTTCTCTACCCCTGTATGAAAGATTTGAGATTTACCATCCACTGCAGATACTCATTTTTTTCCTTGTTCTGGATATACAGATGCAAATATTCTGCCAGCTCATCGTCTATACCTCTAGCCTCTAAGAAATCATAGAGTGAATCTTGCAAGTCATCATCCAAATCCCTGAAATACATAAGAAAGATATGGGCCATGTTAGGTTACAGTTTTGCAGCTCCGCAACACTTACACACTCAAAACAACTCAAACAAAGTTTTTTTTTTTCCCCTCATTTGTGTATATTACATAGCTATAAATATATATATATATATATAATAATCATTATGCATACACATAACCATAGGGATTACATATTACCACTGTGTTTCCAGTAGATTTAAATATTATTTGATAGTTTTCACTACAACAATTTCTAGGCCTTCCCCTTCCCTTTTTAATATGATTCATAAATTTCAATTTTCTACACGCATTTGGATATGCAGAGATCTACTATATAGTATGTCCACACGACGAACCATCTTTTGTGCATGCCTCTCATTTTCTTTTCATCTTTTGGAGGTAACTTAACTTTCTATACCATAACCTCTCGTAGCCTACCTGCCAAACATCCCATTACCACACCTCACAGGATGATTTATGTCCCCTTCTATATATTAGTTTGTAGGAAAGCCATGTTCTAGGTCATCCTAAATTTCATTTTTGAAGGTTTGTGTAATCCCCTTTGGAGAGCATATGCACCGCCTATATTACAAGCTAATTGGTAATGATAACTTTAAGAGCTGCTGTAATTAAATGATTCCTAATAATAGCTACCACTTCCTAGTTCTACCTTTTTCCACTAAACAACAGATTGCACCAATAATGATTCAAGCGTTTAACACAAGCACATTCCATTCAAATATGTTTACACGACTAAACACAGGCTGTTACACTTTACATACTTTTGTATCTAGTTATTTTCAAATTAACAAAAAGCACATCAATAATTATTTATAACCGTTAACTAGAAACTATGGCTTTGTTCTTTCTATCTTTTTTTTTACACGATTTCCTAAAAAACTTAATACATCACTCACATTCATTATTTTTATATTCTTTACATAATTTTCTATACCTCACATAAATAAAATTATTTTCAACAATCTCACAAAACAAAAACACCCTATAATTTTCACCCATCCAAATATATACCCAAACAAATCCATAAATGTTACCGAAACCAAGATATGCATAGACTAAACTTCCACCTCAAGGAGTTAAAGAACAGGCCCACAGCCTTCATTTTGGCTCAGCAAGCTAAAAGAATGAAATGATAAACGTACTTGAATTCAGGACCGATGTAAGACTGATCTTTTACTTTATCATGTCCACGAGCATAAACTTTGTGAATCTCGATACCATCTCGCTTTGCAGAGCATACAAACTCCAATATATCTTCCCCCTTGAACACATCAATGACCAAAGTTATTTCAAGCCTCATGTCCTCTGGCATTTCATCGGTCTTCTTCATGTGAAGTCTGTTGAACATAGTTGCTTCAATTTTTATTTGTTCCTTCTCTCCAAATTTTCTTCTTAACTGGATCCACTGCTCACCCGGTCGTCCATCAACAATGAACGAATTGAATTCTGGTACAGGCTGTAGGCATGGCAAGGGTTAGAACTTAGAAGTCCTTCATTTCTTATTCAAATAAGCCATTTCAGAACTCACCAATACTTTCTTATATATATGACTACCAGTCAGAAGAACAATCATCTTTGCAAAGCATTACACTTTTCATAATAAGTTTAAACCACGAAGAAGCTGGATTAGGTATTCAACAGCCTTATTCCCAACTCACTGGGCAATTATTCTGGCAGGAAAGCAATAATAACCCATCCCTCTCAATCTCCACTTCAAATTCTTGCTCTACGACACTAACATTAACACTCTCCAACTCCGCAACACCAAAATTACTACAAACAGGACTTCATATGAAGAATGTCATAGCAACAAGAACAAGAACAGCATCAAAATTCAACCAACAGCTTCATTCCCAAGCGACGAGAAATAAAACATCCAAAAGACATAAGAGCTTAAAATGCATTAAAAACCTCAAGTGCAGGGAAATGATCGAGCTCGTACTGAATTTCGTTCCGAATAAGCCGCAGAACAACGTCGCCTTCGTACGCTGCATTTCGCACGTCCGTCGCGTAATTTCTGGGTAACGACGACTCAACCAATTGATAAACAGGTCTCGAACGCCGTTGAAGAACCAGACTTTTCGCTGTCTCTCGTAATCCTCGCAACAGACGATGCGCCATCAGCCAAATCCGACGCGGACAAGTTCCCCAGAGGGAAACGAAGATCCAACTGAAGGGTTTAAGCAAGTTTTGATAGCCATGGTGATCTGTTATGTTCTTCGCCAATATTTTCCTTCCTTGTTTATAAATTGGGCCTTGATGTGGGCTTTTGTTAAAAGCCCACAAGGCCCGGCCCAATGCATATGGAAGTAATCAGCATTATTTGTTTCGTACCTATATAATATCATCAACGTTAATTAAAGTATTCGTTTGCTTTGAAAGCAGTTTTTTTTAATAATTGATATTATATTTATATATAATAAAGAATAAAAAAAAAAAACAAAAATAAAAATATTTTTATTAATAATGTATAATATAAAACTAATATTTGTTTAATATATTTCACATTGTAAAAATATTAAATATTAACGTGAATTAAAACGTACTACCCTACACCACATCACGCCACCATCAGGCCATTCCTTACCCTTATGGGACTTTATTAACTTCTATTATTATATATATATATATATTGTTGATCATATTGTTATTCAACTTGAAATGTTCTTTTTAAAAATTACTTAATTAAATATTAAGATGTCCTCCGTTGGCTAGCTAGTCGTCTTGCCCGTTGGTGAACAATGATTATTGACTTTGTTTTTGGACTCGTCCGAGTGTCACCTCTCATTGAGTAGCTTATACTACCGATGAAGTGAAGGCAAATAGCCTAGGTTGGTCAATCCCACCTTGCGACCCTCATTCTTTTTCGAATGAACTCCCCAAATGTCTTTAGAGAGCATATCTCTAGCTAATTGGCAGAAGTCTAATCAATCAAGTCCCTCATGGCCTCATAGAAACATGCCCCTCCGAATCCCAGATGCCTGCTGGGGGACTCTTACAGTTTCCAGTGGTTGTAGTTTATGATATTTGAACAACAATTCAGAGTTCCTAAAACGTAGTCGCTAAGACTTCTTCCTAACTCAAAGACAAACTATTAATAGTTGGCCTCTCTTAATTTTTTTTTTTTTTTTTATTTAATAACGTGAGAATCAACAGCCGCTATCCGAAAATACACACTGAGTAAACTTCCGGCCAAGCCTAATATTCTACAAACTAGGCCCGACAAAGGAAGTTGCCCTAAGTCTCTCCTAATTCAGTCTATAAGCTTTGGTTTAAGTTCAATCTTATATATAAGCTTAGCTTAGGTCGACGGAGAAATCTTAAATTGGTCCGCAAGCATCGCAATAGGTCCTCTGTTCTACTAAAGATGCCACGACAACCTTTACAAGTCGTGAGAAGAAGAAACCTAAGGTTGTATTCGTTTGTAAGCTTTATCATATATTTTTACTATTCAAATTCTTTTTTTCCTCCAAAAATATCATGTCAAACAATTATTTTTCTTTTTTTATACTATACTATAAATTTATTTTACATTTAAAATATCAGATGAACTTCTATTTATATCACATCAAATATCTATTCAAATTCAACTTTTTACTATTCAAAAATCCAAACCCAAAATCTAAAATCCACAAACAAACACACCACAAGAGACTAAGAGAAGACAACTCACCAGGCTCGAATTGATGACTTGCACCACATCAAGGTGATTGAACATAACCAACCGACGGTGGCAATCAACTTCAAAAAGTTGTCAATATCGTGATACTTATAGATAAAGAACTCTCTAACAAGTCTCCCAAGTAATATGGAGACAACAATTGTTTCAAGCACCGACAGAATGACAGTAAAGATTTATGAGAATCAAACAACAGATGCCTGCCTGCGGTGCAAACTCATATCAAATCGATCCTCAAGAAAACAACACTAAAGGATATATATATATATATATATATGTTTCTCATTACAAAACAAACAAACAAAGAAGCAATCACCTGACACTATACCAGAGTCTCCGAAAGATAGCATGTAAAGACTGACACAGCCTCCTGCAAGTGGGACGACGACAAGTCTTCCGGAATAGGCGCTCGGAAAATTGTGTCGAAACACCTTTGCTGGACTTCACCTGTTGAGCCCTCGCTGCTGCTGCTGCTGCTATCGCAAAGGAGACTACAAATCTCCTGTGCCATCTTTGAGAACACAACTCTGATTTTATAAGTGTGTGCGTGCATTAGTTATACACAAGTCAGTATATGATTTCGGATTTTTGGGATAAATCGTAGATGATGATTATCAAGAGCATGAAAGCATAGCAAGAACACAACACCAAACCAGGTGCCTATTGCTCGAGTTAAAAATAACAACCATCACTCTGGAAAATATATCAATACCTTGCGTCTACGGACAATTTGCTTCCCCACACTGCCAATGATTTGTTTAAGCAACCAACGAAATCATTGCATGCATCATTTTTGCTCTCAAGTGTATGCTGCCAAAATAAATAAATAAGTAAATAAAAGAAAATAACTTTGAGGTTTCCAAAGAAAGTCTATTGAGGCAGTTTACTTATGTTTTCAATTTCGCACTATTATTAAACATAGAAAAGTAAATAAAAATTACATCCAACACTGTCAAAAATCTGTTTTTCTACTCAAACATCACATCCAACATCTATTTTTCATTTAATTTTTACTATATCCAAACACCAAGAACAAACTCAAATTTATAACTAATATGCATCTTTTAAGTGCCCCCCAAAACCCTTTCATAATTATCATGAAAATATTTCGCTTCATGAAGCCGGAAAGAATGATGGCAATTTTGCAATGTACCAGATAATTGAGAATCTAATAGAAAGTGACCTTCAACACCTTATTTATATTGGCTTTTTGGTAACACAAGATTTAGTCACCTGGGCTAAGGAAGCTATAACAAGCCAGCACGCTTTAGATAATGTTTAGTATTCTTGAAACAAACAGCATGGGAATTGATGTAATATAAAATGATGTTCAGTTCCAATTAAATGTTAAAGGGCAAGTGGGAAAAAAAAATAAAAAATCAAATATTATATTAGTGTTGAGATGTTTATAAAATCAATTATAATAAAATACAAAAATGGGTAGCTTAGAAGTAAGGAATCTATACCATTTCGGCCATGGTGTTGCCATCTTCCTGCAAGCTAGTTCTTAATGAATAAAAGGAAATATAAATTCCAGCTCCAAGATCCCAGTCTTCAATTTCTGACTTATAATCTTCCATGGATGTTGCCAGCTCCCATATCTCAGAATGTTTTGCTGTGCCATTAATCGAAAAGATTATAACACATAAATAGCAAATAGAAGGCCAGGAGAAAGATGATGCAAACAGAAACTATTTCAAATATTTACGTAATATATTTTCAGATGCAAAATTATTATCAACTCTATCTGCATAGGGAATGTGTTTTTCACACGATACGCAAATTTATAAATGTAACGAACGAAAGCAAGAGAAACAAACCGACTATAATTGAGAATATGCTATCGATACAAAACAAGCTCCTTACCGGACAAAAACAGAGAATGAGCTACTGAAGTCATGAAGATTGAGTGTGCTCTCTGCCAATTTCCACACTCAAGAAAGTGATGCAAAGCTTTTGCAAGATCACCGGTGTAACTGGAATATACAGCCTGCATTCAGAAAAGAGAGAACAATTAAGAATAGTAATTATGTCAATATCCAACCAACCGACTATTAATTTCATAACTGAGTTTGTTTCATTTTTGTTTTTGCATTTGTCTTCATTTTTCCTCTTCAAATAAAAATTAAAAGAAAAATTCAAACTACAGGACTGTAAACAAATGCTCAAAGTGATGACATATCCAGTGCATGATAAGATGTCTCGAGAAATTAAAAAATAATACTAATATAAAGAATATATATATTAAATCATCAAAATTAAGCAGTGCAAGGAAAACAAACATACCATAGCTTCATGCAACCATGCTGAAGGAATACCCAGGTTTTCGATGAACTTCTGTTGTGAGTCCTGAGAACTCCAAACTTCACAATACTGGAAAAGGATTTCCCTTATCGTAGTAGCTTGCAAGAAAGGATAATCTTCTCGTTGAGGCATGTGAAGCACCACATAGATCGCCCAATGGCATTGCTTAGCACAGAGTAACTGAGAAACAAATGCCATATCAAGAACATGAAGATCATTAGAACTGAAAGTACCAATGGCTTCTAAAACCGCACGCTGATGCCAAATCATGTGATAGTCAAGTGGATCGTTTGTAGATGCAAATGCACTGAACATGATCTTCAAAGCACCAAAATCATTTTCTTGTCTGGCATGGAGAAGCATAAGATAATAAGCCAGGTCAAAACGGTCATTAACATCCCAACTGGTCGCATCTTCAACTGGTCCTTCATCAATGTAAATCGGAACAGGATATGGCGCATTCCCCTCATTAAGAAGCTTCTGAAAGGTGTTGAAAATAACAGGTAATGAAACATCAGGTGGAAGCTGATACCACATTAACAATCCTAGAAACCTTTTCCAGTCGATTTTTATACCATGTAAAGCCCCATGTATGTTTCCAGAAAGTAAATTAAGAAGCCTCACTCTATCCTCCTCAATAAAACTAAAATCCAGTCCATTTTTCCTCCAGATATCTAGTTGATGAGCAATATCAGCACGATTTCCAGTGGAACCACCAGCCTGACTTAAAAGACAAGACAATCTTACATCCCCTCTAGAGGCAGCAAGTTCTACAGCATCATCCATTTGCCGACCTGTAAGATGCAAGAATATCTGTTCTAAATCACTAGACTGGTCCAATAAACTTACTTCCTGCTGTACACGGTGGTAAACACTCTCTTGCAGCCAATAACTGAATTCTGCTCGCCTGATAAGTGGAAGTGCATCTTGGTCAACATCAGGATAACTTTCCTTATCATCTGGCATCATATCCTCCTCCTCCTCATCTTCTTCCATAAGCTTCAATTGCCCACCCATTTTCCTCGAGGAAAAGAGAACTTTAATTAATTCCCAAACCGATACTTGGTGCATCAACAGAACACGAGAAGAAGATGATATAGTGGGAACCTCTAGTTGCCTCTCGATTGTATCTATATATTTCCTGCAAATATCTGGAAGAGTTAAGCGATCGATTACAAGCTTTTGAAGCTTCAGCTCAAAGGTTCCCAATCTAATCCTTTTTGTTTCATGACTCAATTCCTTGTGGAGATTAAGAGGAGAGCTGAAACAGGTATCAGTAAGTTCCTCTCTGACTTCATTACTTTCATCTCGTGTTACTTTATCAAATGCAACCTTCTCAAGATTGATCACAGAGGATATTACAACATCAGAGCCAGTACTACCCACAGGCATACCAGAATGAACAAGGACCCCATTCGGACCCCAACCTACCCGAAAAGATCTACCCATAAACAATGCTGCATCTACTATATTACACGAATGACTTCCAGATACAGGTGTTCTGTTCTTCAGTTTTAGCTCGAAACCTTCAGATTTTGCAATAGTTAGGTGCAAGCCTTTATTTTGTTGGGCCATTAAAATGGATCCAGGCGAGCTAGAGTTGAGACCTCCAGGATTGTATTCCAGTAAAGATAATGGAGTCTTTCGAACCGGAGAACTGTAATCATTCTTACGAATTGTCTTTCGAGAGATTTGATGTAATGGAGATCTTGAGGATTCTTTGGAAAAAGGTAGACTTTCATGCGAAAGCATGCCATTGACACCATCTACCTCATCAGCTTCATCAGCAGGAAACATCAACATCTTCAGATCTTTCATTCTGGCAGCATCAAGACCAAGATGAGCAGGAAGAGAATGTGAAAGTAGGGTTTGATTTACTGAAACATTTTCTTGATCAACATCCGACACCTCAGAATAATCCATTTCTGGTGGATCTTGAGCACCCGGAGACACGTCATCCATCTGAATATCTTCTTCATCATCTTCGCCCAGACCAAATTTGCTAAAATGCTGTACCAAAAACTTCCATTCTCCACTAACTGGATCAAATGAAAGAAATTGTGCTCCTTGACTCTCTGTCTTACCCTTGAGAATATTTACAATTTCCCTTGTATGATCCTTATTATAATGTTTCAGAGATTTTACATGAAGCAGTAAAGTTACTTCAGCAGGCTTGTTAAGACCCTGACCAACCAAAGGCTTGGAACTGTCATCCTCATACACAACAACTTCATGTTTGTTGATTTTAACAATACAGTCCAAATCCAAGGATCTAACATCCGTCTCCCCAATAAATTTAATATAGCCATAACCAACTCTTCCGATAACAAAATCTCGAACTTTGCTGCAATAACCAGGATCCTTGAACTCCCGCACTGCCAACTCACTCAAACAAGGCTTGGTATAGTATTCGGAATCTCTTAATGTCGGCAAAAAATTTTCAAGTTCATTCAAGGCTCTACACGAAAGAGAACTTTCTGCACCATCTGATGAAATACGTCTTCTTTTGTAGTGTGACTGCGGAAGGAAAGTTGAGGTTGATATTCCAAAGTCCACTTCCATACTAGCGGAATTGGAGCCTCAATGTACCAAACAATAATCCAAGCCACTGGAAACAGCAAAGAAGAATGAAAATTCTGTATGAAGAACACTAAAAAACATCTACAAAGACACATTAACATCCACTAGCCAAAAGCTTCTACCAAAACACTCCATTCTATCAGAATTCACAAGGAAGTTTAACTAAAAGAGACTCAATGGACTTCACGTTCAGAAACAAAATCTATTAAACAATGCACATAAGCAGCGCACTCTAAATCATATTTTACAAGAGCAGAAAGCAACAATCTAAATACAGCTCCAAACAAATTGATGTGCACAAATCTACAGAAAAACCTGAACTACAAACTAAAAGGCTTCCTCGTTCAGTCTTTCGTAGAACCCGCAGAATCACCCAAAATGAGATCCGCCGCCATAGCATTCATAAATTAGATAGTCCTCGAAATCGATATATGTAAAAGCCACAACGAATCGAATCTAGAAACAATAAAATTGGGAAAACCTACCAACGCGGTCTTCACTTCCTCAAGTGCAAATGACGAACATAGAAGAGACGAGCAGGCGGGGGAGTGAGAGAGAAGGGTTTTAGAGCATATTCTGCTATTTTTGCTGGCTCTCTTCAGCAATGGAACCTCCAACTAGACTTGCCAATTCGGTTTGAAACCGGCGGTTCGAGCCGCCGGTTACGGTTCAAACCGAAAGCAAACTTTTTCAAACCGGAACCGGCGGTTTGAACCGACGGTTTCGCCATTAATTATATATATATATATATTTTTATTTTTTTTTTGAATATAGCACCACTAGCCACCTGGGTGCAGACACAGCGAAGCAGGCCAGCCGCCAGCGGGTAGGTATATTTTATAATAATAATAATAATATTATGTTTATGGTTAAAATTTTTATATATTACTTCGTCCCACTGCAGTTTTCACTATTTTTATTTTTATTTTTATCTGCTCCGTAACAATTGATACCTTTTTATTTTTGATAAAAATTATTAAACCAAAACATATCTAAAAAATATAAATCAACTTAATTAACTACATAACATACAACATTATAAATGAGACTCATTCAAAACCCCTTTATTTTTACCTCTTTCCTAAAAAAAATAAATATTTTTATCTATATTTAAAACTATACATCTTTTATAAAATTAATTTATATTAATTATAAATAAACAAAAATATTTTATTTTACTTGTATTATAGAAGATTTTATTCTCTACAAAATAATATCCACATGGCATATATTTTTTAATTGTTATATAATTTTTAAATATTTAAATATATATTAAATTTTTTTAATCATATATATTAAATTTATTTTAAAATTATAAATATTATTAATTATACAAAAAATAATATAATAATATCATAACTAATTATTATTAACTAATTAAATATCCTTACCTTAAATACCGTGTCCCTAATCAAAGGGTTCAATTCTGGTGGGATAGTGGGAGTATTTATTTTTTCTAAAATAAAAATACTATTAATATTATAAAAATAAAAAAATTTATTCATAAATAAAAAATAATAATATATTTATATTTTAAATTTTATAAATATTTAATTTAAATTATTTTATTATTTAATACATCAATATTTTTATAATTTTTTTATTTTATTTTAAAATTTAATTTAATTACTTATTAAAATTATTATTTTAATTATTTTTATATTGTAACATCATTAAATATTATTTATAGAATTTTTATATAATAAATAAATAATAAATATATATCTAAATAAAATCAAAATCAAAATTAACTGTTTTCAAATAAATTTAAATTGATATTTAAATTCAATTAAAAATTACTTTGATTCCTTCAGTTTTGCTCTGACAATTTTAATTTTATTAGAGAGTATGTTTAGAGCAAAAGTATAGTCCCGGAATTAAATATCAATTTGCTTTTTGCACGTAATTTTAGAAATATTAGTATTATATTGGAATATAGTAGAAATAAAGTAAAAATGACTAAAATAACGTTATTAGTATGTGATATATAAAGGTAATGGTATTTGTGTAATATATTATAAATTGTAAAGTTATTTGTAATGTTAGGTAGATAGTACATTTACTAAAAAAGAAAATAAATACTTTGTTATGGGACGGACTAGGGAGCACTATTTTTTAGTAAGAAGTTTACTTTGGATGGTTGTCTAGTTAAGGGTGTGTTTGTTTGAAGGATTTGTGCGAATTTTTACTATTCATAAAAAAGAATTTTCTTCAAAAATATCAAATCAAACATCTATTTTTTATTTTTTATATTATACTACAAATCAATTTTACATTCAAAACATCACATCAATACATATTTATATTACATCATCAACTATTCAAATTCAAATTTTTTACTATTTAAATCTCAATCCAAAATCCGAAACCTCAAACAAACACACTCTAATACCAAACACAAACCTATTAATTCGGAGGGAGAGGCTTATGGAGATTTTAGTTTGACAAGCAATGTGAGACAAAGAATTGCTCTTGATAAGTAACGTGGGATAAATTAAATCGACACGAAAATTAAAAAAATAAAATAAATATTTTTATTAAAAATTTGATAAAAGTAAATCTAAAAATAAAAAATTAAAATAGTTGAAGTTATTTTGAAAATTTAGGTAAAAAATAAAATAAATAAATAAATATATATAGCAAAGGTAGTTAGCTGTTAAATTTGTTGATTTTGTTGAAATTAGTTTCTTTATCCAAATTTTATTATTTGGATTTTATATTTTTCGAAAAAATATTTTTTTTATCTCACAAAATATTCCATCAAATATCACCCCCCCCAATAAAATTTAAAAAAAAAATAAAAATAAATTTAATGGAATTAGAATAATAGATAGATATAAAGTGAACCATGATAGTACAATATAAATAGACCATAATAAAGATCAATGGCTCATGACATATCCGTGGATAATTTAATCCAAGTAATGGCCTATTGAGCCGGGCAAGTGAGTATTGTACTCAACAAAAATAAAAGTAAAAAAAATAGTTTCACTATAATTAATACTCCCTTAGTCTCATATACCGTGTATATTACATACAGTATTTTAGAAGGGATATAATTAGTAAATAATTAAGAATGTATTAGTGAAAATAATTATTTTATAATATAAATAATTATAAATTAAGATTAAAATAACTAATTAGTTTAATTAAAATAAAAAAAAATAAATTAAAATTTTTTAAATGAGATTAAAGTGTGTAATCATTTTCCAAAAATGGAAAGTGACATGGTATGTGGGACGGACAGAAACGGCAACGTGGACATGGTACGTGGGACGGAGGGAGTATTTATCAATTTTTGCCTCAATATAAAATTCATCAATTTTAGTCCCATTATAAACAATTTCAATTAATTTGGGTCCCATCGTTAAAAAATTTACGGAAATTGCCGACGTAAACGTAATAGAGATGACGTAGCAACTGACTTTGAAACTACACGGTCATGTACCATGTATAATTCTACACAGCCGTGTACCTTTCTGTTTTGGTCTAAAATTTTATTTTTTTGCTATATTTTTTTTAAAAGAAATATTTTGAATTTATAGTTGATAAAGTTAAAATAAAAAAAACAATAATAATAATAATAATAATATAATTAAAATGTATCAATTTTAGTTCATATGTAAATATTTATCGAGTATGTTCTTTTGAAATATTTTTTCTAAAATTCTGTTATTCATAAAAAACTTTCCTCTTACAAACATCCAATTACACAACTATTTTTTATTTTTGTATATTATAGTAGTATTAAAAGTTAATTTATTATTTCAATACAATTATATATGTTTATGTTGAAATTTTTTGAAATTGTATTGAAATGTAAAATTAATTTTTAATGCTATAATCTACAAAAATAAAAAACTAGTTGTGTAATTTAATATTTTTAAGAGAAATTTTTTTGTAAATAATAGTAGAATTTCAGACAAATTCTTCCAAAAGAAAATATTCTATAAATATTTATATTTGAACTAAAATTAATACATTTTAATTATATTAGGATTATTATTAATTTTTTTCTATTTTAACTATATCAACTATTATAAATTCAAAATATTTCTTTTTAAAAAAATATAACAAAAAAATAAAATTTTATACCAAAATAAAAAGGTATACGGACGTGTAGACTCCTATATGACCGTGTAAAAATATGGTCATGTATAATTATACACCGAAATATACATAGCCGTGTGACAATATGACTGTGTAGTTTTCAGATCAGCTGCCACATCATCTCCGTTACGTCCACGTCAGCAATTTTCGTTAGTTTTTAACTGTGGAACCAAAATTGATTTTTTCTCAAAATAAAAATATATTGAATATGTTTATTTGAGTTTGGCTTAAAACTTTTATTTTATTTTTATTTTTAAAAAGAAATAATTCAAATAGTAAAAATAAAATTATAAAAAAGCACTCTCAATTGTCTCAAAATATACTATCTTTGTCCCATTACAATTGACACTATTTCAAATTTTTGTTTGTCCCACAACAATTGATACATTTTTATTTTTGGTAAAAATTATTAAATCAAAACATATTTAACAAATATAAATCAACTTAATTAACTACGTAATATACAATATCATAAATGACGTATGACTAATTCAAAACCCTTTTATTTCTATTTATCTCCTCAAGACAATAAATATTTTATCTATAGTTAAAACTACACATTTTCTATAAAATTATATCATGATTTATTTTTTTGCCAACTAAATTTATACATAATCTAATTCTAATAAGCAACTTCATTTATACATAATTTTATTACTCATATTTTCATTTTTTAATAAAATTTTTATAATACATTCATTTTTACATTAAAATATCATTATTGATTAACGCTATCAAACCTATATAATTTTTGTTCGACTATAAATAATAATAATAATAAAAATAAAAAAGTGCTAACAGTTCTTCTAACAATCCCGTAACCTCAACATTCCTCGACAATGCTCTCCAAAGGAGGTCGCCATTGCAGCGCCTCAAAACCTCCTTTCCCGACCCCTCCCGACCGCCGGACACTGCCGACAGGGATCACATAGTACTTCTGTCCGAGGACCAGAACTGACGTCGGAGAAATAATCTCTTGCCCCTCGTGGAACACACAGCTCGCCGTCGCGGGATTCCGCCTAAGCACCTCAGCCGCCGTGATCGCCTCGTCGTACACCTCCGTCCGACCCTTCGGATAAACTACCTTCACGTACCGATTCTTTGATTTGTTGACGCAAATCCCACTCGAGAAGAAGAAACTCATATTTCCTCGATTGAGTCAGTGTCCGAATTCGACAAATGGTAAGAACGATCGATATTATGCATGGGACTCAACGATGTGAGACTGTTCGTAGCTTTTGGACGTACACAGCAGACAAAGACACATTAAGAAGATTCGAAAAGAGTTTTGTTTTTGTTTTTGTTTTTGTTTTTTTTGTTTTTTGATTTTAGTAAGAAATGGAAATGGAAGCAGGCCAGCGAAGGAGTGAGTTAAAAAATTGCCAAGATTCTAACAACTTCCTATTTGCTAGAAATTTTGGGAAAAAATAATAAAATTGTGTTATTCATCGTCAAAATAAAGAACTTATATATAGACAATACAAAATAGTCCAGAGGAGTAATCTAATAAGATCAAATTTAAACATAAATCAACTAAATCTAAAACTAAATGCTCCCTCCGTCTCATAACTATATATCTATTTGTTTTGCACTGAGTTTTAGAAATATTAATATTAGGATGCAGTAGAAATAAAGTAGAAATGACTAAAATAATCTTATTAGTATTGTGTGATACAAAGGTAATGACATTTGTGCACTATATTGTAAGTTGTAAGAGTATTTGTAATGTTAGATAAATAGTACAATTACTAAAAAAGATTGATACTTTGTTATGAGACGGACTAAAATGAAAAAATAGATAGTTTATTATGGGACGGAGGGAGTATCTAAAATATGAATCGTGCGATGGTTCCATACAAATAGATACATTCATACGTACGTACATACATATATATATACATACGGTATAAATACCAGTTTCCGGGAGACGGCGATCGATCCGTAATCATATACCAAAAGGTTCTTTTGGGTTCAAATCGAAACGAATATTTCAAGCCAGGGAAGAAGAATCGATTGCTCGTAACGATCCACCGAGATCAACAGGGACGAGGGGTATGAACGAGTGCAAGACATCGGTTATCAGCGGTCGGTAGCTCGGCTCAGGTTGCACGCACAGGATACCTATCGCCGCGACCTATACGTATGTATATATATATACACAAATCATACTTATATGTATATACGTATGTATACGGTACGAAAAAATTAGTTGAAATGTGGTCGAGATCGTACTTGATACAAATGCTTCAAATCCATAGTGTTTCTGATTGCAGCGTCGACGATGCTCGGAAGTTTCGATCTGTCGGTTAGCTTAGGCATAGCCTGCTTGGTCGACGAAATCGGATAGATACGTTAGATACGGGAGATGTAATAAGAAGTCGTAGTCGAGCAGAAAGTTTTTCGAATAAAATTTACCCAAGTAACTATCGATTGGCACTGTCCTTCGGCTACTCGCTCCACGGGCCTTCTTCCCGTGAGAAGCTCTAAAAGGACAACCCCGAATGCGTAGACGTCGCTCTTGTCCGTAAGTTTGCCTGATACGAACATCGAACCTAAACTTAGGATTCGGATTAGGTCATCGAAAATTTTAAGGTTGGAGAATAAGTGGCGGATCATTTACCGTCTAATAGATACTCCGGAGCTACATATCCCACGGTCCCGGATAGCTTAACGTTGGCCCTATTTGAATTCCCTCCGGAAATAGCGAGGCCAAAATCCGAAAGCTGGACAAGACAGGCAAAATTTTTTATTACATTGTGTCGAACATGGAATTGAATCGAACACGTCGGGACAGATTCTGTCTTTGCAACCTTGGCGTTGAAATTGGCGTCGAGGAGAATGTTCGAGGATTTGAGGTCTCTGTGGATTACGGTAGGGTTGCATCGCTCGTGAAGGTACTCTAATCCTCTGATTCACAATCGAGAAAATTTGATGATATTGATACCAATAAATATATATGTATAGATAGATACATTTGAGAGCTAGAATCGATGCGATTCATACCTTGCGACATCCAGCGCGATCTTCATCCGCATATGCCAAGTCAGCTTCGACTTGTAAGAAGATCCTATGGAAAATATTTCAATAACTCGTCAACTACACACACACATACATACATATATATACATAGACACGAATGTATGTAAGTATGTATTGCTCGGAACCAAGATTTACGGTGCAAGTGGAAATCGAGCGAGCGATTATCCATCATTTCATAAACCAAGAACCGGGCGTCGTCGCGTATGCAATATCCCAAAAGAGAAACCACATTTTGATGGCGAATCTTGCTCAACAATTCGACCTCGTTCTGCGACGGCGAAAAGATACAATTTTTATTTAATCAAATTCAATGACAAGTAACAATCCCCAATGCTACCTCGAATTCTCTCTCGGCTTCTTGATCGCCGGCGACTATTTTCTTAACGGCGGCGCGTAAACGATCATCGAAGCAAGCTTTGTACACACGCCCGTTTCCACCTTCTCCGATCACATTGCCTTCGTCGAAATTGTTCGTCGCAGCTACCAACGACGGGTACTCGAAGGCGGCGATCGGGCCCTTTTTGGCCCCGATTTTTAGCAAAGAGAACTTATCCAAAATGGGGCCTAATGAAATCCCATTTGCAGGATCTGCAAGAAAACAAACAAGCAGCCAGTCGAGACAAATTAAAACTAGCTGAATTGCTAAAAAAAAACAAAAGTTGAGCAAGAAAAGGACATGGATTATGACCGTTTTTCGAATTGGGATTCTTCTTAAGCTTTTTGAGTCTGTAAATGGAGAAACAAGACAGTGCCAATAAGATTGTCCCCAAAAGAGACGAAGACACCACAAGAGCTACGAGGATTTTCTTGTTCAAATCCTTGTGCTGCACTACTTCGACCTCTGCTGCACCTTCTGATTTAATTAAATGTTCAACAGTTGAAATATTTGCAAGAAATCAAACGAATCCAAAAAATTAAGCCAATGCCTTGGGTTTCATTTCAGTGATTTGAATTTGAAGTCGAGATTTATTACTTCCCCAAATTAGGGTTCCAAAAGAGAACATTGAAGAACGAATTATCCCCAAAATTAAAAAAAAAAATGGTGTGCGAAATTACCTGGAGATGAATGGGGAGTGAGATCAGAGGAGTTTTTGAAGAATGGATCTGTTTGAATGGGAAGAACAGGGTCGGCCACAGGGGGGTCGGGCCTCACATCGACAGGGAAACAGGACGAAGGAATACTGAAGCTCCAAATCACCAGCAGGAACAGAAGTAGAAGAAGAAGAAGCTCCATCAAAGCAATTCAAAATAAAATTAATGGGTGGGTTGTTTTTGTTTCTTGTTCTGTTTGTTTTCTCTCTCTCTCACCTCCCTCAAATCCCAATGTTGCAGTTGAATTCAAATTTGAAATGCTTTTTTGGTAAATACAAAACTGAAAAGACTGTTGGGGGGATCCTTTTTATTATGGGAAGGAAAGCAGAAAAAGGAACGGAGGAGTGCACTGCACAGGCACAACAATCATGTGGCACTCATTAATGGTGTCTCTGTGAGAGAGAGAAAGAGATAGATAGAGAGAGAGAGAGAGCAGTAAGAGTAAGAAGCCTTTTTTCAGATGAAGAAGCTCACGTTCTCCGCCATGCCTCCTTCCTTCACCCTGCGCATAAATTAAACAAATGTTATGATTTTAATTTTTTTTTTTTTAAGTTTTGTGAATTTATTTTTTTAAATATTTCAAATTAAAATTAATATATTTTTTTAAAAATATATATAATATTTTTTCTTATAAAATATAATATCAAAATATTACTTCAAAAAAAAATTAAATTTAACTTCCATTTCAAATTAATTTAAAAATAAATCAAACAAAACTTTTACTATCCTTTTACTACGAGATTGTTTCTTCAATTTTTATTTTTTATTTTCCCTTCAATTTTGTGCTTCTGAATAGGTGTTATTACTTATAAAAAAAAATTTATTAAGTACTGTATTATAAATTATATTAATAATATAAAACAAATATTTTATGATAATAGTTATTTTTTCTGTGAGTAGATAAATAGTATGTTTAAGATATATTGTTACCGTAAGATGATAAGAGAATTCATGAGAATTGTGATTAGTTAATAATTAAAATTGTATTAATGAAATTAATTAAACATAATAAAAATAATTATAAATTAAAGAGAAAATAATTAATTAGTATAATAAATGATTGAAAAATATAAATTTAAAAATTTAAAATATAATTAAAATATGTCATTGTTTAAAAAAATGATAGAAGTTATAAGACTGAGACAAATAGAAATGAAAACAGTGAAAAATCGTGATATTATAAAATATTATAGTTTGTTTTTTTAGCATTTTAAATTCAAATCAACACTATTTATTTCGAAATTTTCAATAAAAATATAGTAACTATTATTTTTCTCACAAAATATTAAGGTGTGTTCTTTTTGTTTTTGTTTTTGTTTTAGTTTTTTCATATTTTTCAGAAAAAAAAAAGAGCTAATATTATATATATTATTTTTATATTACCTAATTTTATGTATCTTACATAAAAAAAAAAAAAAAAATTCTTTAAATTATCTTACAAAACTAATACACCACAATTAAAAAAAAAGGAAAAAAAAACTATTTTAATAAAAACTAAAATCAATACTACTTTATTTCAAATTAATTTCAAATTACAACAGAACAAATTCTATAAGAACAAGACTTTTATATACTTCATTCGTTCGGTCCTAAGGATCTCATTTACTTTTTTTTGCGTCATTGTACTTAACATTAAAAATATCTTTGCATTTGTATAATTTTTTGCACAAATATCATTATAATAGTATTATAAGACACAAATATAAGTATTTTTGTATTTGTTCCTTGTTTTGTACTATATTTTTATATAATAATTAATATTCAAATATTAACACGCAAAAAGTAAATGAAATTTTTAGAATCGGACAGAGATAGTATAATTTTTTTTACAATAATTATAAGTATTTGATATTTATTTAAACTAAATAAATAAAATCTTATTGTCCGATTTAATTTGAGATATTTTTTATATAAATATAAGAATAGTATTGATAATATAAAAATAATACTATTTTATATTAAATATTATTTTTATAAAAAATAGAATATATTATATATTGATATTCGTATTAGTAAAAATATTTATGAAGTTTAATTCATATTTTAATGTCATATTTGGATTTAAATAATAATTTAAACGTAATATTTTATAAATTACAAAAATGTTTATGGAGTTTAATTCATATTTTAATGTATGTAATATTTTATAAATTACAAAAATGTATAGATTTTTGTTAATTTTCTTTTCTATTATTATTATTATTATTGTTATTATTTATAAACACTTATTATTTTATATAAAATATTAAATTAAATATTATGTTTATTTAAAAATATTAAAAATTAAATACAGAACAAGAAATGCAACAGAAATCCTAAATAAAATAAACTCAGACATATGTGTTGAGTCTCTTTTTGAATTTATTTATTTTTTAATATAATTAATTTAAAAATAATACTACTACTTTATGATTTTTATCTAAAATTTAGAAAACACTTGTAATAATTGTATCCTTAAAAATATTGAAGTAAAACTTAAAAAAAGAGCTTTACTATGAATCAATAAATTAATTGAGAATAAAACGTAAGTTCATCATAAAGCTTTGGGTCCAAAAAAAATAGAGGATGAGATTTTGAATTTATTTATTTATTTTTATTTTCTTGAGCATAATTGGATTTTTTTTAATTGAATTTTTATTTAAATAATACTTAATCTCATTTGCATTAGAATAATATAAAATATAAAATAAAAAAAATAAATTATATGTTTAAAAAAATTAGAATTCAAATTATAAAAAACTACAGAGAAATTAAATCGAAACGAAACACACCAAAAATTGGGGAAATGATAAAATGATCGGCTATAAGAGCATCCCGTTACCTCTATGTTATTATTTTCTTTATTTCTCATCCACGGCATATTCATTTCAATATTCAAATTACTTTTTTTTTTTTATCACCTGTTGTAGTTAATTACCTTCAACTTATTACCTTTACTATTTTATAATACTTGCAATAATTTGTTTATTTCTATATATTTTATTATGTAGTAATATAATAAAAATAATTTATTTATTTATACGTAGTCCTATATTTTTATTATTTTATAATACCTACAATAATTTATTTATTTTTATATATTTTATTATGTAATAATATAATAAAAATAATTTATTTATTTATACGTAGTCCTATATTTTTATTATTTTATAATACCTGCAATAATTTGTTTATTTTTATATATTTTATTATGTAGTAATATAATAAAAATAATTTATTTATTTATACATAGCCCTATATTTTTATTGTTTAATAATATTTTTATATAATATTATATATTAGTTTTTAAATATTAATTTATGTAAATTTTAATAATTTGAAACATATAATTTACTATTTTAAAATTTGAATAGAAAAACTGAAGACAAAAAAATAATTATGAAATATGATAGATAAACGTTATAATTGATTAATTAGTTTTAAATATATTTATAGATAATTTTTATTGAATTTAAAATTTAAAAATTTAAGATTTCCAAAAAAGAAAATAGTTAATTAATTTTTATTATTTTTGTTGAAGGTAACCGCTTTTTTACCAAGGTAATAAATTTAAAATAATTGTATTTCTTATTAAAGGCAACGAGTATTATAACGTAAAAATCGAAAAGATAATCACAAATGCAATGAAGAATGTGACTGTATTTAAGTTTTAAAATGAAATTTGAAGATTATATTTGAAAGTTCAAAAAAAAAATGTGTAATATTAGAAATCAATTATTTGAATTGGGTTGAGTTAGGAGGGTGTCTATACTTATGGTTTTACATTTATATTTCGTATATATTGAATATTTTTGTTTAAGATTCGTCTGGTTAAAATTCGATTCGTTTATTTTGATGGTCTGATTTGCGATTCAATTTCTCTCGAATTAAATTACAGTCGTTTCATATTAGAATTGTAATTTTCGTCGTCCACTGTTACTGTAATTTCTCTCTCAACAAAAACTCTTTCATAAACATATACAATTGTGTGTATGCCGTTGCTGTTATCTCTCCCTCAATAAAAACTTCTCTCATGTTCATTTTTCTCTAAGTTCTTGTGTGTTCTACGATAAGGTTTTTCGGCAATTTTCACTGTGAAAATTTAGTCGAGTGCTATGTGAAAATTTGTGAGTGTTAATGAAATTTTTTTTTTTTTTTTCGATTCAAATCCCTCCAAATTGAACTATTTTGCCTTCGAGTGTGTTGGGTATCGATTTATTGGGTAGAAGATAGTATTGTGGGTATCTGTTATCCGTCGTCGGAGCTGTTCTTTCGTTATATCGGTTTCTTTGTTCGGTAAAGTAAACTCAGTTGAAATCTAATTCACATTAGTGTATTTCGCTTTTTGTTTTGATTGTGACATATTTTCATTTTTGGTTCTTTAATAAAAGTTATATTTAGTTCCTATTTTTCTTTTTCGATTTTATCAATCCTAAATCCATTACAAGATATTTATTATTCATTTTGTTTGTAAATAATAGATATATTTACCATCAGTACATCAATTAAATACTAATAATATTTTATATTTAATAAATTGTATATATCTCTGGAAAGACTAAAGGTGTGTTTTTTTATTCCAAATCCCTCCAATTTTACTATTTGAACTTGTATTTCTTAAAAATTATTTTTTTTTCTCTTTCAGGTACCTATGTTATTTAGTTTTTGCACAGAATTCCCTGTATTTTTTTTATTTTATTTTTTATTTTTTATTTTTACAAATTTAACCATTATGATATGAGAAAGTTTACATGAAACCCCTATTTCATGTACAATTAACAAAAAAACTAAAATAACACATAACTGGTGCGTGTGTGATAAAGAATAACCTCACAATATTTTCGCCCATTAAATGTTCTTTCATAAATGCATTCTATTGTCTCTGTGCATATATCATACTCCATCTGTCACATAAGTAAATATTCATTTGTTTTTTACACGTAGTTTTAGAAATATTAGTATTATATTGAAATATAGTATGAATAAAGTAGAAATGACTAAAATAACCTTATTATTATATGTGATATAAAGGTAATGACATTTGTGTAATATATTGTAAGTTGTAAGGATATTTGTAATGTTAGGTAGATAGTACAGTTACTAAAAAAAATAGATACTTTGTTATGGGACGAACTAAAATGAAAAAATGGATACTTTGTTATAGGATGGAGGAAGTATATTGATTTCCAGACAGTTTTTGAGACTAAATTTCTTTTTTCTGGAAGTGTATATTATGGGTGTGTTTGTTTGGGGGTTTGGATTTTGAGTTGAGATTTGAATAGTAAAAATTTTGAATTTGAATAGTTATATGATGTGATATAAATAGGTGTTGATGTGATGTTTTGAATGTAAAATTGATTTTTAGTATAATATAAAAAATGAAAAATAGGTGTTTGATTTGATGTTTTTGGGGGGAAAAAATGAGATGAATAGTAGAAATCTTTACAAATCCTTCAAACAAACACACCCTATATATATTGTTAGTGTAAAAAATATA